CGATTATAAATATTAAATAAATAACAAATTGCCTATATTGAAAGCTTTTGAAATTTGAATATATTCGGAGACATTGAGAATAAAAACACTTTATTGAGTTTACAAGATTAAGTAAAATTAACTTTTGGAAAGCAAAATAACACAATTAATATTTAATTTAATTGTTATTAACAATTATTTAAACAATTTTTGAACCAAAAGTCAATTCTTAGAAACAATTATTTTAAACAGATGAGTTTTAACTGAAGTAAATAATGATGACATTATTTAATTTGTCATATAAATTTAAGAAAATTTATTAATTTTTTGTTAATAAAAAATTTTTATAACAATAAATCGCAGCACAACTAACACACTTATCATATCGTTAGTAGGTATGCAATATCATTATTTAGTTCGTCAAAAATATTTCACAAAATTTATTAAATTTTTGTTGCGAAAAATGATTATAACAATAATTGTTTTAAAAAACTATGTTTGTTAAGCTTTTATTCCAGAGCTATAATAATAAACTTCTGATTTCATAGAAATCAAAGAACTAGGGGACAACTTTAATTTTTTTGGCATGGGACCTGTCCAGATTAAAATTAAAAGTACAATTATTATTTAAACAATTTTTAAACAAATTATTATTATTCTTATTTTTGTTTAAATTATAATTTTATTTTCAATGTAAATCGGGATTTGAAAAAGTTTGGTAAATTTGCATGATTATAAAAAACTGCATCTTTCTAGTATACTATTCCGTAAATAATTAGAAATAAACAATAATAATTTGTTTAAATCTTGCTCAAATATTAATAATTATGTTTTAAATCTGCATCTGTATTTATGTAAGGTCCGGTAAATTGCAAAATTGGAGAAAATACACCTCTCTAGGTACAATATGTAAAAAGTTAGTAATTAACAATAATAATAATTTGTTTAAACAAATATAAATTTAAAAAATACACAGTATTCTTAAAAATTTATAACTTGACATTGTGCAAAAAGAAAAATTGAATTCGGTTAAAATTTACGACTCATAGGTGATTTTTAACATTAGTTTGTATGTAGAGTATAACCTGAAAATGAGCTTTTTACGGTTGCGCGCTAGGACAAAAAATTCAATATCTCCTAAAGTTTCAGACCCTCCATCGATTTTTTTTTGGAAAATACTCGTGAAATAAGTGGGAATCGAATCATTGTTATTAAAAGCAAAAAAAAATTGAACTTTTCAAAAAATTGTTTATTTAAAAATTATTTTTTAAATAATTTGTTTAAAAAAAAAAATTTTTTTTTATAAAATATTTTTTCGAATTGTCTGTAAACAATAAGCATTCCCTAAAAATTTTATTAAATTTTATTCATTTTCTTTTGAGATATACCATTTTCAAAATTTCAAAAAAAATTTTTTAATTTAAATCCAAAATTTTTCAAAATTTTTCGAAATCGATTTAAGGTTTTTACTGGCATGTTTTCCACTTCAAAATTTCAAAGTTTCAACAAAATCAAAGAAGTAGGGGACAACTTTGATTTTTTAGGCATGGAACTACCCATTTAGGGGTTTTTGGGGTCGCTGCCCAGAAATTTGCCTCATCACAAGGAGGTTACTGAACTCTGATCCCATTTTTAAAAATTCGTCCGCCATACTAGATCCGACATTTTGAATTTTGAAAAACTGATTGCATATTCGTAATCAGCGATCCCAAAAATCCTCGAATAACAAGTTTCAAACGAATCCGATCAAGTTTAAAAAATTCGTCCACCATTTTGAATTTTGAAAAACTGACATTAAATTTTTAATCAGCATCCCCAAAAACCCCTAAGTAACATGAAACCTTGAAAACCCCCAAAAAATTTTCGATTTTGTAATTTTCTTGTAAATCTTGGCCTAAGCATTCTATTTTTATTATTGTTATAATTAAAAAATTACTACCCAGGTGCGAATTTAGGTTGGCCGCCAGAGTTTGAAGGTTGGCCCAAGGTTGGCCTAACTTTGGCAAGCGAAGTTTTGGTTGCCAGAGTTTGCCCAACTTTGGGAAGTACTAGTGCCCACAGTTGGCCCGACTTTGCAAGCCAACCATTACATGCAGAGTTTAACCAACCGTTGGGCCAATTTTGGGGACAAGGGTTGGCACAACTCATCAAAACGTAGTTTAAAAGACTTTCAGTTTCGGTCGGACGAACTCTGGGCCACGGTTGGCCCAACGGTTGGCAAAACTTTGTCAAATGCAGTTTAATTGACTTATACTTTCTGGGTCGGCCAAACTCTGGGCCACGGTTGGCCCGACAGTAGGCAAAACTTATGAAACGCAGTTAAATTGACTTAAATTTTCATAGTCGTCCGAACTCTAGGCCACGGTTGGCCCAATGGTTGGCAAAACTTTGAGAAACGCAGTTTAATTGACTTACATTATTTTGGTCGGCCGAACTCTGGGCCATGGTTGGCAAAACTTTGTCAAATGCAGTTTAAATGACTTAAACTTTCTTGGTTGGCCGAACTCTGGGCCACGGTTGGCCCAACGGTTGGCAAAACTTTGTCAACCGCAGTTTAAATGACTTAAACTTTCTTGGTTGGCCGAACTCGGGCCACAGTTAGCCCGACGGTTGGCAAAACTTTGTCAACCGCACTTTAAATGACTTAAACTTTCTTGGTCGGCCGAACTCTGGGCCACGGTTGGACCAACGGTTGGCAAAACTCTGTGAAACGCAGTTTAATTGACTTACATTATTTTGGTCGGCCGAACTCTGGGCCACGGTTGGCCCAACGGTTGGCAAAACTTTGTCAACCGCAGTTTAAATGACTTAAACTTTCTTGGTCGGCCGAACTCTGGGCCACGGTTGGCCCAACGGTTGGCAAAACTTTGTCAAATGCAGTTTAATTGACTTATACTTTCTGGGTCGGCCAAACTCTGGGCCACGGTTGGCCCGACTGTTGCAGCTTTAATATACATTTTGCGTTATGCACTCCCATGTGAGCGTAGCGTAGTGGTATGTATGAGATTGTGTTTAATAATAATAGGTAAAGGTTATATCTGATGTTCCCGCTAATAATAACGTGTTAATTGTTTAAATAATTTAGTTTTTTAATAATTTTTTACCTTTGACTGTTGAAGTTGGCAAAACTTTAAAAATTGTGGTTGGCCCAACTTACGCATCTAAAGTTGTGCCAACTTTGGCGTCAGTCTTTGGACCAACCATTGAAGTGTATAGTTGGCACAACATATGCATTTAAATATTAAGAAGAAAGAATTATCTATAATTAATATGCATTTAAAGTTGGGCCAACTTCCTTATGAGTTGTCGGGCCAACCATCGTCGCCATTAGACGGCGAACAGTTATCATCTGTATGGTTGGCCCAACCTCTGGCACGAGAAGTTGGACCGACTTTGTAAAAGTTGGCCCAACTATGGGCCGACCAAAATATCGCACCTGGGTAATTCTTTATTGCAAATATATTTCTTTCATAAAGTAGAACAAATTTGTGAATGTTTGGAAATCAAAAATATTTTTATTTTTGACAAAGTTATGAAGGTTCGAAGTGAAAAGACGTTTCTATCGGAACCGTTGGGCGTTAAAGGGTTAGTTACAGTTACATTTCAAATTTAGTACGAAATTAATTTAAAAATATCAATAAGAATTTAAAAATTAACAATATAAAATATTTTTACTATAAATTTTTAACTATTTAAACCATACTCTGCGTTAAATTGTTGTGCAATCGTAGATACGATTAATAATGGGTATGAATAAAGTAAACAGTTAATCAAACAATAAAGTTATTTAAAATTAATTTTAATTTAAAGATTAAAAAATGTTAAGTTAGTAATAATTTTATACTTTAATAAAAAAAAACCGCTGCCAAGTTGTATATTTTTTTTTATAATTTTGGTGCTCATTTCATGAACACTTTACTTCCTCATGGAGATAAAAATAATAGAAATATATAAATAACTTTTTATAAATATATGGCAAAAGTGATTGAATTTTGAGTCAATAAATATAAATGTATTTTTAAATACCCTACAAGATAGTTACAATAATTTAATAGTTAAATAAAAATTTTCAAACAAAAAAGTTAAGAAAATGCCATTTTTCACAATTTTTGGTTTTTAAAATACCAATAATTTCGAAATTTATTATCGAATTAGGTTCAAAAATAGGTCAATCGAAGCGTTTTTTAATGCTCTACAAGTTTGTAACGATAATTTTAAAGTTACTTCTACATTTTTCAACAAAATTTTCAAAAAAGTCTTATTTTCCAAAATTTTTTATTTTTAAAAGTTTAATAACTCCGGTTAATATGGACGAAAAATGTTCAATTAGGGCTCAAAAGATGCGTCTAAAAAACTCTACAAAATTATGGAAAAACATTTATAGGTGTCCTAACATTTTTTTTAAAGTTATGGGCAAAAAACGTTTTTTTGCAAAATTAAAAATCAAAAAAAAATTTAGTTAAAATTTATTAATATATCAGAAAGTACTCTCACTTTATGTCCGCAGGTGAGATCTACAATTTAAAAAAAAATCAACCCAAAAGCTCTTCATGATTTCGAGATATTTATGAAAATGTGATGTTTACACACACACACACATACGGAATGATATTTTTTAAAATGTAATTTTTGAACTCCTGAGGTCAAATAACATAAAGATATGTCAAAAAATCGAACTCGAAAAATTTTGTTATTACAATACTTCCTCTATGAGGAAGTAATTTAATTATTAAATTAAGTTTTAAGTAAAGTAGATAATGGAATAAAAATAAAATGCGTTGTACGCATGTCACTTGAAAGAGAAAAGGCTAAATGATATCTCTATCTTTTCCCTTCTCATGCAAAACTTTGCGATTTAAGCTCTAATTTGGCCCAATTGTGATTTTTAGGTTAAATTCTATAGAGTCAAATTAACTAACCTCTTTTTGAAAAAGTAGATGAAAATAAGGAAATATTTTTTTAATCTCTTCAAGTACCTGCGTTTATAATAGAAAAAAAAATTTTAAAAACAAATTACTTACCTCTGTGATGAAAATTCCTCAACTCCAAATAAAGTCCAAGCTTGTCTCCCCTCTTAACAGTTGTATTAATTCGCCACTATTATTTTTGTCAAATATCCTGATATTTTACCCTGAAGTAAGCAGATACCGTGAGGCAAAGTAAAGCGTCCATCTCCTATTTCCAGAAGCACTTATGTCACTTCACACTCGGATGAAACCTAGAAAAGAAGATACATAGTAACTTTTTTTCGGTAATTTTCCCCAAATGAGTTTCATAACTGAAAAGTACTTAAATTCCCATTAAGGCGATAAAACACAATATAAGTTTGCAAAACTAGTTCAATGTATTTTTTAAAAAAAAATTTAATTTCCCAAATGCGCCACTAGTCAAATTCTCAATTTTTTGGCAGCTGCCCAATCATGCTGTAGATGAAATTTTGGAACTCTCTTTTTATCAACTACCCAACCCTGCAGGACAAACTTTACGAAAATTTCATATCGGAATATTTTTCTTCTTTTTTTAGTTTTTAGAATTTTCTAAAATTCTATCAATTCTGAAAAGTTTGGACGCAGTTCACAAAAGAATGATGCATTTGACTAGAGGCGCATTTTGTCAAGTTATGGCCAATGGATAATTCTTAATCGGGAACGTAATCGGAATCGCAAGTACAAGAATGAGTAAGAGAAGGACAAACAGTTATTGTCCGTCTGTATACTCATTTTTAAGATTGCGATTGTATTTACGTTCCCAATTGAGAATCAATCAATATGTACACAAATAATACAAAAAGAGTGTTTAAACTAAAAAGCCAACACACAACAGGGTTGCAAAAGTCGTTCGCGAACGGACTGCACGAGATAGAAAAGAATATTTCTGTCTTTTTCTAATCAGTGCTTTGCGTTCACGAATGACGTACGAGAAGCAGTTGTGCTTAGGCCTTAAGTCGGTCACGAACGTATTATGCTTAGGCCTTTAGGTTCGCAGTTAGGTTAAGGCCAACGCAGAATAGATCTGTAACCGGAACCGCAATCGTAACCGTAAGCGTAAGAATGAGTTAGAGAAGGATAAACAATATACCTATCCTTCTTTAACTCATTCTTACGGTTACGCTTACGATTGCGGTTCCGGTTATAAATCTATTCTGCGTTGGCCTTTAGTTCAAGTTGATTCGATCCATTTGATCGCAAAGAAGCTCGGTTGAATGACAATTACCGATATTTTTTAGTTTTACTTATTCGGAAAACTCGATGTAAATCCGCAAATAATTACGGTGTAAAATAATCGGTGATAATTCATTTATTCTTCGCGTATATAAAGTTTTTGTAGAAAAATTGAAAAGACAAATAAGCAAATAAGTTTATGAAACTTTTAAAACTGAACACGTACACAGCATTGTTTCTTTGGTTATCAACAATAGGCTGTCAGTTTCAACAGATAATAATGGTTTTTGAAAAACACTTTAATTCTTGTTACTTTTCAACTATTTTTTTAAAGCAAAAAAACAGGGGTTTGGTCTTAGACTTAATTAGATTACCCGAGGTTAAGTTGCTCACATAGGGTTAGTTTCCAAATACACAGAAGAGTGATTTGTACATTTAAATTAAATATAATTAAAAATTATTAAGAATAAATAATATTATTTAATTATATTTAATTTTTAATTATAAGTCATTTCTAATTACATTTAAAAATTCCTAATAATAATTAAAAATTGTTGTTAATAATTGAAAATTACTTAAAATAGTTCAAAATTATCCAAAATATAATAACATAAATTAATAAATCTGATCAATTAAAGATTAAATACACAATTATAAACTTGACGGATAAATGTCTAGAAAAAGTGTAAATTTTTCCCCCTATTATGTGCTTGCTCTTTATATGGTTTCGAATATGAAAATAAATGAGACCCGTTTGCACGATTATAGTTCTCTTTTGGAACGTTTGTGTAAGTAGAAAAAGTATGTTCATGGGAGCCATTCGTGAATGCAATCACAGAAGTAGAGTGAATCACACGGGGAATAGAACAAGTTGAGAGTGAAATGTGCTTTCACTCTTTTGCTCCTTTTCTTATAACCATGAGAGGACGGTCACCTACTTAACTTTTATAAAACGAATGAATTCATATATATATATATACCCGATGCGCACATAAGTCAATGTTGGAATTTAAATTCGTGCAATACATACAAAAATTTTGTCTGTATATATGTATAAGTATATTTTGCGCCCAAGGCAACGCAACGTTGGGTATATATATATATATATAAAAAAATTTCTTTGCTGTTCGCGTCGGTTCCAAATAAATATGTTCCCTCTACACTTTTAATTTTATTCAATTCACATGAGTAAGCCTCAGGGAAATTTGAGGGTCAAATTCTCTTCTTAACAAAAGAACGATTCTAAAAACTATATATATATATATATATATATATATATATATATATATATATATATATATATATATATATATATATATATGACACTTCATGTCGCGATGGAAATTTTCAATTTAAATTTCATCATGTCATTGACTTTTGAAATTTGAATTAGTCAAGAGATTTATCATATAATTTTATATTCGAATTTTGCCGTATCATTCAATGATTTCTCCGGCATTTTATTTGATAGTACTTTAAAGAAGCACGGCATGTTTTTTAATAATAATGTAATTATTAACAAACAAAAATTATTACTCTTATAAAATATATTTTTACTTTAGGTCCTCTTTTGACTTAAACCGTTTAAATTAGTTAACTGAATTTTAGCTTTGAGAGTTTGATTTTGAGACGTAAAATAATCATGTTAACCAGTGAAATAAAGCTGTAAGTAAATATTAAAAATTCAATATACACGGAGAGAAGAGTTGCAGTAAATGTGACAGAACGCGTTTAGTAAATCATTTAGTGCACCGGTTAGTGGCGCCAACTGTATGTTTAGTATAATACACTACGACACCTCTCTGTTTAGTAGAATATACTGTTTGCTCAGTGTATCTTACTATCTTACTAAACAGTGCAGTAGATGGCACTGTCTGTACCGTCAGTCCAAACCTAACGATTCTGTTTAGTAGATTTAACTGCCATGTCAGTAGAATCTACTACGCCCTTCTCTCCGTGTATGGCGTCGATTTTTTTAAATTTGTCCAATTCGATCAAAAATTATTACTCGGTGGTTTTTGAAGTCACTACATACGAATGTTACCTTCATTTTTTTAAAATTCAAAATAAATGCAATATGGCTGACGAATTTTTAAAAAATTTATTGGATTCCCTATAGGAATTTGGATACTCAAGGTTTTTTTTTATCTCTGAATAGAAATTTTGGTTTGGTTTTCTAATATTCAAAATCGTGGATCGTTTCGAAAAAATCGTAATAAAAGTATTTATTTAATACAAAGTAACAGATCCAAAATATCGTTTCAAAAAAATGTTAATATAAACGAAAAATTCTAGTCTAATTTTCTCTCTACAAATTTAAAAAAAATATGTAATTTTAATGATAACTAATGACGAGAAATTTTCTTGCAATTTTTATTACTTTTTTCAAATATTTCATTATTTGTACGCGTGATTATAATTGATAGTTATGTTTCTGTAATAAAATGAAATTAGGGGCCATAATTCAGTGTGCGAGAGGACTTTTTCTTTTTTTTTTTTGATTTATGTATAACACATTGAATTTCTTCAACGAATCTATAAATTCGTCTTCTGTCAAGTTGAGTAAAACTTTCAGAATTCATTAAAAAAAATTGCGGCGCACATTTTCTTTTTTAGAAAAAGGAAAGGTGCTCTGTCTCTCTCTCTCTCGACTGAAATTTTTTTTTAATTTTTTTTTTTATTATGAAAGATAATTTCTCGTTTGCGTTTTGTGTAGGGGGATTTAAAATCCGCACATATTCGGATGAGGGGCCAATAAATCTCGATGTTTATATAGAGGAAGCTCTTTTGCTTTTTGGTATGAAGTCGGTTTGCGAATTTTCATGAATAAAATTTCTCTCCACATTGCACCACGCAGTGAGCAAACGGTGACATAGGAATTATTTCAAATTGTACGTTAAAAACAGCAAAAGAAATTCGCTTGCACGTGTTTTATATATATGTACAACAAAAATTTCATTTTTATTCTTTATCCACTTAAATTCTTTTCTTTTTGTTTTTTTCACTTTTCTTTATCTTTTACTCTTTCTTTTTCTTTTTTACTCTATCTTTTTCTTTTTTACTCTTTTTTCTATTTTATTTATTTATTTTTAAAAAAACAAAATTCTCGTATTTTGTCAGAAAAATGTACGGAAATATAACTTGAAAATTTGTACTCTAGCTCTATATTTTAATGACTGTGATTTATTTTTTCACTTTCAACGTTATTGTTAAATTTTTTTCTATTTATTCTCAATTTTCTTTTATTTTTTTATTTTTTCTCTTCCTTTCTACTTTTATATCCTTTATTTTATTTACTTTTCTTTATTTTACTTTACTGCGCTCTCTTTTCCCCGGATTTCTTTTCTTCGCATTTTCCAATTTATTCTCTTCTATTTCTTTGCTTTTATTTTTATTATAACTAACAATTATAATAAATAAATTATAATAAAAATAAATTAATAATAATAATAAGTTTAATAAATACTAAAAATTAACAAAATTTATTCCTATTAATTATTATTATAACTAACAATTATTTTTTAATTAATTAATATTTATCATTTAAATAAAATGATTCGATTAATTAATATTAGGAATAATAAATACTAATATAAATTAAAGATAAGAATAACAATAATAATAATAATTATATTATTATTTCTATTATTTTTATTAAGATTTTTATATTATTGTTCTTATAATTCAATTTTTGTTGTTGCTACTGTTGTATATTTATTATTTTTCATCAAAAATAACAACTTTAATAATTAATAACAACAATAATTGTTAATAGTTAATAATTAAATATTACCCTTAATTTACTTTTTTGGAACAAAATACTCAATATATTTTATAAACGCTCGACTGAATGATGTTTCAATTTAAGAAATGAAAATTAAAATAGGATAAGGAACTTTAATCTGAGTTAAAATTAAATTAAAGAGCAATTACATTTAATTGAGTTGAAGAAGAGAATTAAAATTTTCACGTGTACGATCAGATTATCGGGGACTGTTTAAGGATTAAGTGTTTCTTATTCAGGAAGAGGAATTTTAAATTGACTCCTGCCCGCAAGCGATAAATTAACTGGCGCGATCTTGAGTAGAATTTCACGTTTCACGATCATTATGATTGGAAATTACGTATACATACATATATAGCGCGATGAATGAACTGCTCTCGATTATTAATCACTTTCTCCTTCGTCACTATTGTTTTTTTACATTGATTGAATATATATATATATATATATATATATATATATATATATATACAATGTAGATGAAGGATAATTGATTTTTTACTTTCTTAAAAAAATATTATAGTATACTATCTTAGTATAGTTTTTTGCCGTTATTACATAAATGTATATAATGTTTAGTAAATTCGATTATTCTATTATTCAATATAAGAAAAAAAATTTTTTTAACATGTTCCACCCCTTAAAACCACCACTAACGTATATTACTACCCCAAAAAAATTGATAATTAATCTAAGTGATAAATTAATTATATTTTTTAGCTCCTGTCTGCTTTATAATTATTTATAAATATTCTCTGGTTGTTCAAAAATGAAAAATAATTATAAATAACCACTTGAACACCACCCTCAAAGTCAAATAGCCACCCCTTGAAGATAATAGTTTTTGTGAATATTTAAAAAAAATCTATAGATTCTAAATGCATCTAAATTATAGAAAAATGTTTCTAAGTGACACAGATATGGATAATAATGTTAAACAGCACCCTTGAAACCCACCCCTATTTCATAATTATTCTTACATACATACTGTCAATAGTTTTGAACAATTAAAAAAATAATTTTTATTGATTCTATACGTTTCGAAAATACGAAAAAATATTTTTATGATGACTAGGTAATGATAGTAAATGTAAACTACCTTTTAAAAATCGGGCAAGTGCGAGTTGCACTCGCATTAAGATCGAGGGTTCCGTACACCAAAAAAAAACTCATTTTTTATAAAAAAAATATATATAAGAAATATAATTGATTAATATTAACATATGGGCAATTCTACGTGAGATTTCAGTCGACCTCTTAAAATCGGCCAAAAATATTTTTTTTCTATTCTGTATTGAAAAAAAACAGATACGTATTTTTTTATTATTTTTTTGGAGGCCAAATTTTTGAGTTATGAATTTTCAAAATTTTCGCTTTTTAAATGTAGCTATATTTTTAATGTCAGATAACTCAAAAAATATTGCTTCTTTTCATTTTTTGACAAGAGAAAAAAAATTTTGTTTTTCTTTCTACTTTTGAATAATCATAACAAAAAAATTTTTTTTTCATTTTTTATTAAAAAAATAAAAAAAATTTTTAAACAAATTAATTTTTTTTAACTTTGGGTATGATAAATTTTTAATTTTCTTTTTCTAAAACATACCTGGAAATGATAAGAAGGTTTTGCAAAAAGTTTCAGAGTGGGCCTGACAAGTTTGATGGGTCCAAAAAAAAAATTAAGCTGTCCGTGCAGGTCGCACGCACGTGGCACAATGGGATTTTTTTACAATTTATTATTAAAAATTGTCTAGAGCCTACAAATTTTATCGGATTTTGATTATTATTGAATTTTTAGGCTCTAAACAATTTTTAATAATAAATTGTAAAAAAGTCCCATTGTGCCACGTGCGTGCGACCTGCACAGAGAGCTTAATTATTTTTTTGGACCCATCAAATTTGTCAGGCCCACTCTGAAACTTTTTGCAAAACCTTGTTATCATTTCCAGGTATGTTTTAGAAAAAGAAAATTAAAAATTTATCATACCCAAAGTTAAAAAAAATTAATTTGTTTATAAAATTTTTTTATTTTTTTAATAAAAAATGAAAAAATTTTTTTTTTGTTATGATTATTCAAAAGTAGAGAGAAAAACAAAACTTTTTTTCTCTTGTCAAAAAATGAAAAGAAGCAATATTTTTTGAGTTATCTGACATTAAAAATATATCTTCATTTAAAAAACGAAAATTTTGAAAATTCATAACTCAAAAATTTGGCCTCCAAAAAAATAATAAAAAAATACGTATCTGTTTTTTTTCAATACAGAATAGAAAAAAAATATTTTTGGCCGATTTTAAGAGGTCAACTGAAATCTCACGTGGAATTGCCCATATATAAACCTATTGAGCTGAAATTCGGTACACATATGTATTTTTATTACATATAGATTAAAATTCCTAAAAGTTCAAAAAAGAAAGAGAAAAGTGTCATTTTTTGCAATTTTTTCGTAAAAATTAAATTTCTTTCCCTCCTAGTTCGCAAATAAGTCCGTCAATCGAGTTCGCTATATTTTTCCTGTAATCTGCAATTGAAACTGAAGATCCCTACCGAATTTTAGCTCATAAGGTTGAGATTTGTAAAAGTTAAGGGGGGGGGACGAGTCATTTTTTGCAATTTTTTCGAAAAAATTGAATTTCTTTCCCTCCTAGTTCGCAAATAAGTCCGTCAATCGAGTTCGCTATATTTTTCCTGTAATCTGCAATTGAAACTGAAGATCCCTACCGAATTTTAGCTCATAAGGTTGAGATTTGTAGAAGTTAAGGGGGGGGGACAGGGTCATTTTTTGCAATTTTTTCAAAAAAATTCAATTTCTTTCCCTTCTAGTTCCCAAATATCTCCACCAATCAGGTTCGCTATATTTTTCCTGTAATCTGCACTTAAAACTGATGATCCCTACCGAATTTTAGCTCATAAGGTTGAGATTTGTAGAAGTTAAGGGGGGGGGACAGGGTCATTTTTTGCAATTTTTTCAAAAAAATTCAATTTCTTTCCCTTCTAGTTCCCAAATATCTCCACCAATCAGGTTCGCTATATTTTTCCTGTAATCTGCACTTAAAACTGATGATCCCTACCGAATTTTAGCTCATAAGGTTGAGATTTGTAAAAGTTAAGGGGGGGGGGTACAGGGTCATTTTTTGCAATTTTTTCAAAAAAATTTAATTTCTTTCCCTTCTAGTTCCCAAGTATCTACACCAATCAGGTTCGCTATATTTTTCCTGTAATCTACACTTAAAACTGAAGATCCCTACCGAATTTCAGCTCACTAGGTTGAGATTTGTAAAAGTTAAGGGGGGGGACAGGGTCATTTTTAGCATTTTTTTAGAAAAAATTGAATTTCTTTCCCTCCTATTTTGCAAATATGTTTGTCAATCGGGTTCGCTATATTTTTCCTGTAATCTGCACTTAAAACTGATGATCCCTACCGAATTTTAGCTCATAAGGTTGAGATTTGTAAAAGTTAAGGGGGGGGACAGGGTCATTTTTTGCAATTTTTTCAAAAAAATTCAATTTCTTTCCCTTCTAGTTCCCAAATATCTCCACCAATCAGGTTCGCTATATTTTTCCTGTAATCTGCACTTAAAACTGATGATCCCTACCGAATTTCAGCTCACTAGGTTGAGATTTGTAAAAGTTAAGGGGGGGGACCGGGTCAGTTTTAGCATTTTTTTAGAAAAAATTGAATTTCTTTCCCTCCTATTTTGCAAATATGTTTGTCAATCGGGTTCGCTATATTTTTCCTGTAATCTACACTTAAAACTGAAGATCCCTACCGAATTTCAACTCACCAGGTTGAGATTTGTAGAAGTTAAGGGGGGGGACAGGGTCATTTTTTGCAATTTTTTCAAAAAAATTCAATTTCTTTCCCTTCTAGTTCCCAAATATCTCCACCAATCAGGTTCGCTATATTTTTCCTGTAATCTGCACTTAAAACTGATGATCCCTACCGAATTTTAGCTCATAAGGTTGAGATTTGTAAAAGTTAAGGAGGGGGGACAGGGTCATTTTTTGTAATTTTTTCTGAAAAATTCAATTTCTTTCCCTCCTAGTTCGCAAATATGTCCGCCAATTGGGTTCGCTATATTTTTCCTGTAATCTGCACTTAAAACTGAAGATCCCTACCGAATTTAAGCTCATAATGTTGAGATTTGTAAAAGTTAAGGGGGGGGGGGACAGCCCATTTTGCGTAGCTGGGACGGACACACGAGTGATTTCATAAGGGTTCCGTCAGTTCACCTATGGTGTACGGAACCCTAAAAACAACCCTAAGGTCAAATAATCACCCTTTGTTGAAAAAACTTTTTGTGAATGATAAAAAAATCTATAGCTTCTAAATGCTTCTAAATTATAAAAAAAATGTTTCTAAGTGACACAGATATGGATAATATTAATAAGCACCCCCCTCGAAACCACCCCTATTGCATAACAAGATTCAGGCGAATCTAATAAATTTTTTTTATTTTTTTTGTCCGCCATATTGGATCCGCCATTTTGAATTTTTGAAAACTAACATCGGATTCGTAAACAGCGACCCCGAAAACCCCCGAGTAACAAATTTTAGGCAAATTGGTAGATTTTTTTTTCTTTTTTATTTTTTTTTTTGGGGTAGTTTTTATTAATTTTTGTTACCTTCCTCTTCGATATTTTTTTAGAGTCTTAGAATTAATTTCTTTACTTCAAAATTGATTTTTGAAATATCGGTTTAAAAAATAAATTCGCGGCTTTTATAACGAAATAATTTTGTTATCAGTAACCTATTTGTTGTATGTATTAACTTTTTTTTGTTTCTTTGTTTCAGTGACCTAATGAACAACAATATAACGCACATTCCAGTAAACGTTTTTCAACATTTTTCTAGTCTGGAAATTTTGTGAGTATTTTTCTCTTCTCTGCGCAGAAAAAAGAGAAAAATAAGTTTTTTTTAACAAAAACAGCTATTAAAATTTTTATTTTCTAAATTCTTATAGTTACTTTTTGTTCTATACATAATTTCCTTTTAATTTCTATTTTTCACTTTGTTTTCCATTTTTCTAAATTACAAATTTGAGGAAAATTTTCATTTTTTCCCCTTTTAATAATTTTTTATTTTCTTTTTGCTTATTAGCAGTTTCTGTTCGAAATTTTATGCTTTTTAGCTTAAATTTTTATTAGAGGGGTGGGAAGAAGTATTTATTCTGATATTACTAAAGAAAACTAAACTAAAGCGAAAAAAACAAATTGTACAATAAGGGAGCGAAAAATGCCTTGAAATTTGAAAATTCGTGGAAAAAAGATTGATGATTCGTGTGTATTACATAATAGGATAGCAATGCAGTCTTTTAAAGTTATAGGGACAAAAAAGGATAAAGAGACAATTTAATATGTATGAGAGGTATTTTTCAGGTTACTTCGACGCAATCATCTCAGATCCATTGATGTCAATGCATTTACAAATCTAACAAATCTTAAAGTCCTGTGAGTATTCTTCACTATTTTTTTAATTTTACCCCCCTCCCCCTCCTCTTTCTCTCATTAAAAAATTTTTAAAAATTATAATACCCCTAAATTTGAATATTCAAAACTAAAGATTTAAACTCTATATATAAAAAAATCATATTTCCTTTTCTAGAGAACTCGATGACAACGAGTTACTAGAGATTCCAAAGGCAATTGCTTTACTGCCATTTTTAGAAGACTTGTAAGTAATCACTAAATTTACTCTATAAATAAAAAAAAAAGAGAAAAAAGACTTTAAACACATTTTAAACAATTTTTCCAATCGAATGAAAACATTATTTTAAAAATTGGAAATAAACGCGACGGGGAAAAATTTCGAGTAACCAGACTTTGGATCTTTTAAGAATTATTTTTAAATATATTTAAAACTCAATTATTTGTTTTTCTTGTTATGTATTTTTAATTTTTTAATAATTTCAAAAAAAAAGAAATTCATAAAGATTTGCAGTTGCAATTGTTACAAAAAGTTGAATTTTTGTACATTTAAAATTTAAATAATTGTGAATTTCAAAGAACTTTCTGTTAATTATTGATTTATTAGGTCTCTGAATTTAGCGTCGTAACGCTGAGCGTCGAAATAAAATTTTTTCGCAAAATCGAAAAGACAAGTTTTTTGAAAGATTTTATACTAAAGAAATACTATGAAAAATTATTAACTCCCTAGGTAAATAAAAGAGGGGAAAGTGACAATTTCGACGCTAAATTTAGGGACATTGATAATTGACTTAGAAAAGAATTTTTGTTAAGGAGTCTCAAAAAGAATTGAATGTCGAAAAATTGTCAATCTTTAGAATTGCTTTTTAGATTTCAAATTAAATTTTTGAATTTTAATTGACACTGAAAGTTTTTATTCATAAAATCGACTTTTTTCACCTCTCAAAGTCGATCCAAGGCCTAAAAAGAAAAAAACAAGATAAAGCACAAGGGATAAATTACTTTAACAAACAAAACAAAAATTTATCAGATATACGATTCTTTTCGGGTAAAGTTAATTTTTTTTTTGCCTAAATTTTTCAGATCGTTATCAAATAATAGGATACAGCGGCTGGAAGCGAATGATTTACAAAATACTGTGTACCTGGTGTCTTTAGATTTTCGTGGAAATCCCATAAGAGAAATTCACGAGCACACTTTTCAGAATCTTGCACGACTTCGAAAATTGTAAGAGCAAAAAAAAAAAAGAAAAAAAGAAATAAAGAGTGAGAGAGAGAAAGAGAGAAAAGCGAATGAAATGAATGAAATAACGAAATATCTCACACGACATTGAGATTCGCTAAAAATAAAAATCTGACTAAGAATTTGTATTTCATTTCTTTTAGAATTTTCTCCAATGTAAAGGAACTTATTGAATTCCCCGTTTTAAATGAAACTGCAGCCTTGGAAGTGTTGCGACTCGATCGAGCTCAAATTCAATCTGTTCCGGAAAAACTCTGCCAAAATTGTCCAAAACTTAAGAGTTTGTGAGTCAATTTTAGAATCTTTTCGCTTTTTAGAAAATGTAAATTATTAAAAAATTTATTTTTTACATTAGAAAAATGTTTACTTACTATTTTTTTTAAATACTGAATTTTTAATTATTCACAGACTTCGCACTCGATAATTAATTTTAAAAAAGTAGCAAAAAATATCTTTCAAACTAAAAAATAAGTAGTAAAAAAGTAGCTATTGAAATATTAAACTTGACGACCAAGAAAACTTGTTTTATTAGACACTTCACAAAACTGACAAAAATTCCATTCCATATTTTTTATTTTCCTGACTTTTTCCTAATTTTCATCAAAAATATTTACTTCCTTCTTATCCTGCTAATAAATTTAAATTCCTGCAAAGAATTTTATTATTCATGAAAGAATTTAAATATTTATAAAAATAATTGAATTATTGCGAAAGATTATATACAAATTTTTAAATAGTTCATTTCTTTCGACTAATTTTATGCAAATTCTAATTTAAATAATCGAATTCCTCAAAAATTTGTATTCTTCATGAAAAGAATTGAATTCTTACGAAGAATTTTACAAAATTTTTTTAAATAATTGAATTCTATTTGGAAATTTTATGAAAATAGTAGATAATAGTAGATATTGAAAATCATTGAATTCCGAAAAGTTTTTAAAAATAATTAAATTTTACAAAGAACTCAATTAAAATTTTTGACAATAATTGAATTCTTGCGAACGATGTTTTTAGAACTTTTGAAAATAATTGAATTTCCAAGAAGAAATTTATTACTTTTAAAAATAATTGAATTCTTGTGATGAATATTGTTATTTATGAAAATAATTAAATTTTGCAAAGAATTTTATTAAAATGCCTAAAAATAATTGAATTTTCAGAAATAATTTTGTTATTTATCAACATAATTGAATTCTTTCAAAGAATTATTTATAAATATAATTGAATTGTTGGGAAGAATTTTATTAAAATCTAAAAGAATAATTTAATTATTTCAAAAAAATTTAATAAAAATAAATTGTATTTAAAATAATTGATTTCTTTCGAACAATTTTATTAAAATATTTAACAATAATATTGAATTCCTGTGAAAAATTCTAATATTTTTGTAAATAATTAATTAAATTCTTCCAAAGAATTTTATAAAAATTGTTTTAAATAATTAATTTTTTCGAAATTTAATAAATATTATGAACATTTTATTTTAAATAGTATTGAATTCTTGTGGAAAACTTTATTTGTAAAAATAATTAAATTTTTTGATTAATTTATTTAAAATAGTATCAAAAATAATTGAAATTCTTCGATGAGTTTTATTATTCACGAAAATAATTGAATTCTTATAAAATAAGATGTAAAAGTTGTTGATCAGTGTCAATTTAAATAGTCCAAGATGTATATTTTGTCATTTTATTCGTCTGATCATGAAAATAATATTTTATAAAAATTTTTTAGCTTTCGCTCCACGACGCAGAACCTCCTCAGAATTTAATTCTGTGAAATAATTGAATAATTATAATTATAATTATAATTATAATTGAATTCTTGTTTAGAATTTTACGAAAATTTTTTTTAAAAAATTGAATTTTTATGAAAAATGTTATTATTAGTGAAAGTATTAAAATTATTGTGAAGAATTGTATAAAAATTTTGTTAAATAATTGATTTTTTCGAGATTTTTTTGAAAATCCTATTGAATTTGGAATATTTTTTGAAAATAATTGAATCAATTAGTAGCATAACGAAAAAAAATAGTAAATAGTAGGTTTTAGTAGATGAGTGCGAAGCCTGTTATTCAGTTTTTATTAACTAAATTTTAATTAACTAAATTTTATTTTACTAAATTTTAATTTACTAAATTTAAATTTACTACATTTGTCAATTATTCAATTTTTATTAATCAAATTTTTATTCACAATAAGTATTTTTATTTTACTATAGTTTTATTTACTCAATTTTTATTTACTCAATTTTTAATTACTAAATCTTTACTTAATAAATTTTTATTTACTACATTTTCATTAACTAAGAAAACTTTTAAGTAAAACTTCTGTTTTCTCTAAAAAAAGTTTTTTAAGAAGTTTCTTTTAATGTCTAAAAATGCGAAGACAATTTTTCACTTCAATTAAAAGTTTTTAAAATGTTTTCAGATTAAATTAAATTAATAAATACATGAATTATTAATTAATTAATTTATTTATTAATAAATAATCATTATTAGTGAACATTTTTAATAATAATTTTATATTTATTAATAATTAAAAATTAGTAAAATTAACAAAGTTTTGAAAATTAAATTTAAAAATTTTTTTGTAATCAAAAAATGAGGAAGAAAATAAAAAAGTTTCCATATTACTTTCTATTGATTGAAATATATTATTCATTTTGGAAAAATTGTCACTGGAAATTGTTATTTGTTCTAGAGATTTAAAGTCCAATCGTCTAACGGAAGTGCCCGACTTAAAAAACTGTCACGACCTTCGGGTTTTGTAAGTATGTGGAGATATTTACTGTTACATTATTTTTCAGTTGTAAATTTTTTCTTGTTACGCAATAATCAACAATTAAGCAAAAACTTCTTTCTAAATAATCTTAAATTTTTCTCTCTTATTTTTTTTTTATTTTCTTATATAATTAAAAGTAAAATTTAAATTAGGAAGAAAAATAATAATTTTTAATTAAAAAGACAATTAAATTTTAATGGAAATTTAAATACTTAATTGTGCATATAATTCTACTCCTAATTCCGAATTGTAATTCCAAATTCTAATTATAATGCTGATTATAATTCTAATTCTAAAATTCTAATTCCGAATTCTAATTCCGAATTCTAATTCTAATACTACTTTCAATTCTAATAATACTTTCAATTCTAATACTACTTTCAATTCTAATTCTAATTCTACTTCTAATTCCGAATTCTAATTATAATATAATATTCTAATTCTAAATTCTAATGCCAATTCCAATTTCTAATTCTAATTTTAACTCCAAACTCTAATTCTAATTTAATTTATAATTCTAATTACAATTTTATTAATGTCAAATTCTAATTTTAATTCTAATTCTAATTATAATTTTGATTCAAATTCTAGCACCAATTCCAAATTGTAATTCTAATTTGATTTATAGTTTTCATATTCTAATTCTAATTTCAATTATAATTCTAATTTAATTTATAATTTGTTAATATTCTCGATAATTTATATAAATTATGTAAATAATTGTAAATTTATAAATAATTTTGAATTTTATTCCGTCTTTTAGAGATTTAACGAGCAATATGATTTCATCTTTATATGGAAAGCCTTTCGAGGGCCTGAGTAACGTTCACGATTTACTTTTATCAAATAATAATGTAAAAATTATTCCACACGATGCTTTCGCAGGATTAAATCGTTTACAAGTTTTGTAAGTATTTCCAAAGACAATATTTTTAGAAAAAACAAACCAATCTAACTCAATTTTAGCAGATTTCACTATACTTTATTAATAAAAATAAATACTATTATAATAATTATTATTATTTAAGTACAATAATAATAATTATTATTAATAACATTTCGTTACTAATGAGTATTTAGTTAATTAATTAATTAACATTTTTTGCTTTTTTTTCAAGTCCCTGAATTAAGCGTCGAAAACGGAGATTATAGAGATAAAAAAATCACTAATTGCACTTCTCTTATTTTCCTAGGGAAATAAAGAAGTACTTTTTTAAACTTAAAAACTTGGGAGAATTTTTTCCCAATTCTCTTTGGTTTTTATTTTTAAAAATAATAAACATTTTCCGACGCTAAAATTACAAGGACTTTATTATTCCGACTAATAAAATTAATAATTTGACATTATTTTTAGAGACTTAGAAAGTAACTATATCGAATACATTCATCCCGATGCATTTAAGGAGATAAAACATTTGGAAGACTTGTGAGTAATTTTCTCCCTTCAATAGAAAGAAAATGATAAATTTATCTTCGTTTTATATAATATATAAATCATAAAACTAAAAGTCATATAAGCTGAAATTTTCTTTTTTCTTGCAGAAACTTGGGAAACAATATTTTTCCAACATTGCCAATAGCAGGTCTCGCTGGTCTACTGCATTTGAAAACATTTAATAATCCTGAATTAAGGGAATTTCCATCACCGGAAAAATTTCCCAAAGTCAAAACAATGGTATTATCGTACGCTTATCATTGTTGTTCATTTTTGTCAATTGAATTAGAAGAAAGTATAACGAAAATTCCAGTCGAGGAATCAGTTCTATTTCCCACTGACAATGAATTTGATATGAGCCTTTGGAATTCGAGTTTAACAGACGTCTGGCCTCAACTACGTGAGTAGATTGAATTTTTTTTTGTACAACTATTTTTAAAAAAATAACTTTTAATCGATTATAAATTTTTAAAAACTTTTAAAAGTAAAAATTTTCTAATCTATTTCGTTTTCAAGTAAACCAGTTTTTTTAGTGTATTTAACATTTTCTATTTAATTTTTATGTATTTCATGAAAATAAAACCTAAAGAAAAAATTAAAAACTAAATTTATAATTCTTCCATGAAATACAAAAAAATTTTCCCTATATTCTTCATTTTTATGCAACAATTTTTAGACTAACCATCTTTGATTTCCAACTAACAATTAACCAATAATCATCAATATTAAATTTGAAATCGAAGATTAATATTTCTCTAGTGAAAATTTTAAAACGATGAATGTGCTTTTCTCTTTTCTGTCGCTTCTCAATGATTTATGATTCCCTCTTTATCGTGTGGTCTACTACAAGTTTAAAATTTCTCAAACTTTGCTCTTGCTTTCACTTCCAAAACACTGAAATGCTGCAAATAGTTCACTATTTAAAAAAAAGAATCGCGGAAATTTTTAAAAAATTTTCTCAGAAAAGAAGAGAAGACATATTCTAAAACGGTTTTGGGTTTGTAGAAACAAAAAAAAAAAAAAAGAAAAGTTTTTATGTTCAACCACAAGACTTTGCAGCACTGAAGTGATAAAATTTTCTAGATAACTTGAGCAGCAAATTTGGATCACAAATAAATGAACTTCTGGATAACTTTGGTTCAGATTTTACGTATCCGGGAAATTTGCCCTCGTACGTCGATGACTACTTTGAGGAACACGATGGACGAACGCTACTCAGTCAAAATATGCATTCTCAGCAGATTCAGTGTTTACCACAACCTGGTGAGTACATTAGAATTTGACAACCAAATAAATTTTTCATATATGACAAATATAAAGAATAATTAACACAGGCAAACAAAAAAATAAAAGTGGTCGGTTTATCGAACCAGACCTACATGTCTTATAGTATTTTTACCCGCTGAAAACGAATATAAAGTCAGAATTGCTCCATCACCCTCTGTTTTTTTAAATCGAAAAACTACCCTTAATGTACAAATTCAAAGTTTAAAGTAAAAAAAAATTAAATAACAGATTGTGTTGCAAACCAGAACAATAAATCTATGCACTTCTCTTATAACAACTCAGAAACAATGTCAGAATTGTTCCATCACCCTCTGTTTTTTTAAATCGAAAAAACTACCCTTAAATGTACAAATTCAAAATTGAAAGTAAAGAAAAATGAAATAAAAGATTACAGGGTGCGTCTAGCGTTCGGGAAATGCGTGAAAAGCGGGAATTGTACGGGAAATTTTTTGGTGCGGGAAATGTAACGGAATATACGGGATTTTTTTCAGCCACTGGAAATTTTAAGCACAGGAATCAAACTAGATCCTGTTTAAATACCGTAAAAGAAAGTTTTTTTTTAAAAAAGGTCCGAAATATTTTTGAAAAAGTACGAAAAACCCGTAAATTGTACGATATGATTTGGAGAATTTTTGAGAAGTTACAAATTATTGCAGAATTTCAATTATTTTTAAAAGTAATTACATTCTTCGCAGAAATTCAATTATGTTTCAAAATTTTGAAAGATTCTCGTCAAAATTTCAATTATCTTTATAAATAATAAAGTTCTTCTCCGAAATTCAATTATTTTCAACAATTTTATTGCATGAATTTTTATAAATAATTGAATATTGAAATGTTTGCAAATTAATGACCTTAAGAATTTGAATTTTTCATATTTTTAATTAACAATTCTGTAGAATTAATTGTTTTCAAAAAGTTTAATTGAATATTTTTTAAAAATTATTTTATTTTCTAATATAATATATTTAATTGAAGAATAGTCGAAAAATAAATTCTTTAACTGGTTCGAGCCTTGTAACCATATAAAATTATTTACATAAATTTATCTTATAAATATATATAAATCTTCAAAATTTTCGCGCTCTTCGCTAGACACCCACAGTTAAATTTTATGGGTGTTAAAATTTTAATACTTACCAATTTATTGAAAAAATAAGACTTTTGATATAAAAATGTAACAATTAGATTACTTTCTTATGATGTATAGGCGTTTTTTATAACAAAATTTAAAAATAATGGAATAATATACCTACGCAAAAAAATTCGGGAATTTTGTATAAAACTGGAAATGTACGGTAATTTTATTTTATGTTTTTACTGGACACCCTGGATTTAGCTTTCGAGTACGTAGGATATTTTAAAAATATTAATTTTTGTGTATTTGGCAGCTGTTTGATGAAAAAAGTCAATTTTTAGAGCGAAATTTTTTCAAAATATATATTGCCAAAAAAACAAACAAACCAAAAAAAAATCCGCTACGTACTCGAAAGCATTAGTAAATGACGAACAAAAAAAACTTTGGCTAAATTGAATCCGATCAAAACTGTTCTGGCTAGACTGCCCACCGTTTTGAAAAATGTCATTTCGAGAAAAACGCATTTAAACTTATGTAATGTGAAAACATGAAAAATGAAACCACTGTTAATCTACGATGTCTGCACCATATAAGTGACTTTCTACATTAATATTTCCTTCATTTACATCCTTTAGAGCAATTTGAAGCTGCCTTCAGTATTCTTGAGCTGCTACGATAAAAGAAAAAATAGCCAATGGCGCTAAAAAGAACTCGAAGCGCTCTTGGACACCTTTTACAGATTTCGATTTTTTTCACATAAAATAACTTCGAAATTACTTCTTATGATATAATTTCTATTCTACACCTCATAAAGTATCGTTTAAGCAAAAAAAAAATAAAATCAATTTTTTTTCGGGTCAAAGGTGTCACTCTCCCTTAAGGGTAGTTTTTTTATATAAAAAAAATTGGTGGGTGATGAAGCAATTCCGATGCTTTTTAGAGTTGTTAAAATATAAATACTGAAATATAGGCTTCCGTTAAAAAATTTTAGGGTAAAGTTAATCTTTTTTTTATTTTTTCCTTTCAAGTCTGAGTTTATCCTCTTAAGGGTAGTTTTTTTAATTTATACAAAAAATTGGAGTGTTTTTGAGTTGTTGTAAGAAAAGTACTCAAATTATTATTATAAATTATTATTATTATCAATATTATATTATATAAATTATTATTATTATTATATTATTCTCGCTACATTCTACTATTCTCGACAACATTTTTTAGTTAATTTTTACAATTTTATTTTTAATTAAAAATTGATAATAATTAATGTCTACTTAATTTAATAAAATTAAAACTCACATTTTTTAGTTAATTGTATTTTAAATTAAATAGAATAAGAGATTTATTAAATAGTATGAAAGGTTAAAAGGTATAACCTGAAAAAGGTATGGAATTTAGAACCAGTAAACAATTTTTGTACTAACAACTGTTAGTAAACAGAAGATAAAGTTCGCTCAAAAAGTAATTTTTCATCTTCTGACTTCTGCTGATTATCGGCTGTGGTTACTTTTTATGAATTGTGAATTAAATTAATTTCGATGACCCAGATATTATAATTGGAATTGTTCTAGCAATAGTTTGGGAACAGTAAAAAATTTTTGACTAACAATTGTTAGTAAACAGAAGATAAAATTCGCTCAAAAAAATATTTTTTCATCTCCAGCTGATTATCGGCTGTGGCTACTTTTTATTAATTGTGAATTAAATAAAAATGTCCAAGACACTGTATTTCTTCCCACTGTTCATATTTTTTTTCCTGACCATTCAACTGTCATTTGATCAATTAAGGCATTAGCTCAGATTTTAAAAAAAGAACCTTTTTCTGAAGTGTTTATATATTGGAGTTTAGTTTTGTCTAACATCAGAGATTGGAACAAAACTGCAGTTTTGTTCCAATCTTAATTGATGTCATGACATCAATTTCTGTCTTAAAATCTTTATTAAAATTTACTTACCATTAAAATTCCCTTAGGTCCGTTTCTGCCCTGCGAGGATTTGTTCGACTGGTGGACGCTGCGATGTGGCGTGTGGGTTGTCTTCCTCTTCGCTCTGCTTGGAAATGGAACCGTTGTCTTCGTGTTAATCTTCTCCCGCAGCAAAATGGATGTTCCCAGATTTCTCGTCTGTAATTTGGCTGCTGCTGACTTCTTCATGGGCATCTACCTGGGTGAGAAAAGAACATTTATTATTTGTTTGCATTTCGAACTGTTAAAGGGCTAAATCGTATTAAACTAGAATTCTCAAGTTTTTATCTAGAGAAAAGGATTTCGCACTTTTTGGAATTTAGAATTTGGGAGGAAAGTCTAATGACTTTCCTCTCAAACTCTAAATTCGAAAAAGTGTGAATATTGGGAAAATGATTTCAGGTTTGTTGGCTGTGGTGGACGCGTCGACTCTGGGTGAATTTCGAAAGTACGCCATCCCGTGGCAAATGTCAGCCGGATGTCAATTGGCAGGATTTCTGGGAGTCCTCAGCTCTGAATTGAGTGTCTACACACTGGCGGTGATAACTCTCGAGCGAAACTACGCAATCACTCACGCAATGCACTTGAATAAACGTCTCTCCTTGAAGCACGCGGGTTACATAATGACTGTAGGTTGGGGTTTCGCTCTGTCAATGGCAACACTACCACTCCTCGGGGTCTCGGATTATCGAAAATTCGCCATATGTCTTCCATTTGAAACGACCGGCACTGCATCGCTCAGCTACGTGGTCTTCCTGATGCTGATCAATGGAGTCGCCTTTCTCATTCTAATGGGTTGCTATTTGAAGATGTACTGCGCAATTCGTGGTTCCCAGGCGTGGAATTCCAATGATTCGAGAATAGCCAAACGAATGGCACTCTTGGTCTTCACAGATTTCCTCTGTTGGTCGCCAATTGCCTTCTTCTCTCTAACAGCAGCCTTTGGACTTCAACTCGTCTCTTTGGGTCAGGCAAAAGTTTTTGCTGTCTTTATCCTTCCACTAAATTCCTGTTGTAATCCATTTCTCTACGCGATACTCACAAAACAATTCAAAAAGGATTGTGTCCTCATCTGCAAGGCTATTGAGGAGTCCAGAGTCACCAGAGGAATCGGCAGGTGTAGACACAGTTCAAATTTCAGTAATCGTCAAACACCGGCTCATACAAACAGTCTTGTCGATAGACACTCGAGGGAGAATCCACCGCAATGTGTTTGCGGTTCGAGAATTGTGAATCGCAATCAGTGCACTGGTCGATGGTGGGGTGCAAAACTTCTTTTACCATGTTCGAGAAATCAACGACAACGTCATGTGAGGAGCGATCAGTACGCCTATCAGATTGCCGAAATCCAACAGAAGCAACATAAACGTGCCTGTTCCGTTTCATCAAGCGAGAATTACTCATCATCCAGATCCGACTCCTGGAGGCAGGCTCATCATTGTGGAATTCCTTTGAGGTACTTCTTTCGTTTCCATAATTCCCGAATTATAAACATTTTCTGGATTTATTATATGTAAAAAAATAGTTTTGTAATTTTAATCAGAAATTATCCCATTCAGATTACTAGATCCGAACAGAAGAGCCTCATCATGGCTGATAACGAGAAAACCATCTCAGGATTCGAACTTAAGTTCATCACGTAATGATTCGTCGGGATCGGGAACGACAGCAAGTACGAGCACGTGGCGAATGTCTAGGTCGAGCGCATCTCTTGAATTAAATTGCCGAAGTACTCAACGTCCACCAAGACCGAAACCCCGATTGACGAGGCAATTAGCTTTCCAGGAACCTGATCCACCCGGTTCTCCTGGGAGACTTGCCGTTAGATTACTTGCCACTATTCCCTCGGCGGCTGAAATGAGCGATCAGCAAGAAGAGGAAAATGCTCTCGCAAACGAGACACCTGAATCTTGAGTTTCTCATCATTAGAGACGATGATAATTTTGAAGACTGTCATTATATACTCAAACTTCTTTAGACTTTTCTCTCTAGAATTAATTTCTTCCCTTTTTCGAGAAAATCAGAAAATGGTCCGTTTTTCCGGATTCCGGAAATTTTATCCGTTTCAAATGTTCCAAAAAGTTACCACGAATGTATATTAATTTAATTCATGATTTTGATTCAAAAGGAATTTTAAAAGTATCTTTTGTGTTCGTTTTTGTGTTTCGTAACAGCATGGAGGAAAATGGAGTGTTAAAGTAATTATCCAGTGGGTTAAGTTCTACTACATTCAGACATTAAATTTAAACTTTCCTAGAGGGAAAATTAAATTAGCAAAGAGGGAAAAGTTACCTTTCTAAATAGATGACATCGCTATCTTGATAATTGAACAATTTTAAAGAGGAAACAAACTACACTCTTTACATTTGGGGTTATGTTGAAAATTTCATTTTTCCAAATTTGTCACTTATTAGGTTAGTTGACAATAGTTTTAACACTAAATTTATTATTCAGTTGCTTTTATTAGCGAAAGCAATTTTTACAGAAGTTGCTATAGTTTCTGTCAGCTCCCCCACAGCACCGAAACTTTCCTAAAAATTTATTAAATATTTACTTGCAATGTTCGGAATATGTAATGGCAATGTTTATTGAAAGTTGTGTAAAGATTTAAATGTCCCGATTAAATAAATGTTTAGCGCGAAACTTTCCTGAACATTTAAATTACATTTTCGCCTAATTATAATTATAATTATAATCGGGACATTTAAATCGTTACAAAACTTTCAATAAACATTGCAATTATATATTCCGAACATTGCAAGTAAATATTTAATAAATTTTTAGGGAAGTTTCGGTGCTTTGGGGGTAGTATTACTACCATTTGGGTGTCATGGTGAATGCGTAAATGCGATAGTCATAATGCGTCATATTTTTAAATTTATGTATAAAAACAAAACTTTTATATTGCGATTATTGAAAAATAGAAATAATGAAAACTACAAACCTAAGGAATAAGTAAAAATTGGTGCTGCAAATAACAAAAATTTATAGGTTATATGTTTAAAATCTTTCTCCAGAGTGCATTTTTTTACCTTCTTAAATGACTTTAGGCGTTGCCGACTGTCAGAACAACAAATAATCGTCACTTCGTTATTAATTTTTCACAAATTATACTTTTTTATAAGACAAAAAAATACCACATTTAACACTTCAATTTCCTCCATGACACATGAACAAGAATGGCGCGCGCACAGTATAAATGAAGGTTGTCTCATTTTTGATTGGTCGTCAATTATACAGTTTTCATATAGTAACCAATCAAAAATGCGAAACAACCTGATTTTTCTCCAGCCAAATTGGAATAACAATAACAATAATAAAAAATTTCACTTTTTGTCACTTTCTCTTTCTCTCACACGTGAGATGTATAATATGTATTTGAAAGTGAATGGACAAAAGAAGTGATATATTATAAATATTGCAATTTTTTTTCCTTTATTTTACGTATTAAGATTTAAAATTCCGCGGCAATGAAAATACTCATTCACTATGAAATAATATATTTTGCATATATATATTTATAAACTTATATACGTATAATTTTAGTAAAATTAACTAACAATTATAATTACAAATATGGGAAAACAGAAGGCATTAAAAGCATTGAAATCGTAAGACATATAAGAGGTAAAAATTTTTGACATGAGATAGAAAAAAATGGAAGATAGTTCTGTTCTTTTCTCTCTCGTTCTTAAGACTTACGATATTAATGTGCTTTAGGCCTAAACCTGAGGGCTTACCAAAGACAAAAAAATAATCATTAAATTCTATTTAAAATATATTTATATATTGTCTCTACTCAAAATAATGGTTTTCTTTTTATGAGAAACTTTTTTTTTTAAATAAAAAATTTGCATTTATATAATATACTAGAATATAAGAAGAGTAATGTATATAAAGTATTGTAAATTTTTAAGATAAATAAGTAATAAGAATTTTTCCACCTTCAATTTTTTATATTATATTGTTTAATAATATACGTGATATAGTAATATTATTAAAATCAGATTTTTATAATTATAATTTTATTTTTTATCAATTGGAATGTGTTTTTTATTATTAAACCATATTGAAAATAGTTATTACTTGAGATGGTAATTTCAAAAGGTCTTTTTTTACTTTTTTTAAATAATTTTTTAAATAATTTCCTTTCATATAGCCGAAGCGTTTTTACCACCAAAACTCACATTTTAAAAAATATGTTCATTTTATTTAAAAAAATCAGAAAGTTTACGTTTATCAAAATATCGAAAATAAATTTAAAAAAAAATTTCGTTGAAGGTGGATTATTTTTAAAATATGTTGATATTAGAAAAATGTAACTTCATTTTTTTAAACGACTAATATATATACATTTAGAAATATTTTATATTTATTGCGATTAGATAAGAAAAAAAAGCCGTAGAAAACTTTTTATTGTAATAATAAGAGGCTGTTAATTGTTAATTTAGTACATATAATAATAGTAAATTGCAAATTAGTTCCTAGTGTATTTATTCAGTCGAAATGATTTTAGAGTATATTATATAATATTTCGTCAGTATTTAGTCGAATATGTCATGAAAAAAATTATAGTATAGAATTTGATGTAAAAAGAAAAAAAATTAATTTCTGTAAATATTGAAAAATTCGATATTTTTACGTGCCTTGTATTTAAAAAAACTGAAATCTAAAAATATTTATTTCTCTCGCCAAAAGTTTGTATTAACGTTTTCTCAAATTTTAAGAAAAAGCAAATCTTGTAAAATTTTCCTACAAATAATAATAATAATACAATAATAATATTATTTGTAGGAAAATATTAAGAATATTATATAAATATTAAAAAAAAAAAACATTTATACAGATACGAAAATATTAATAATGGAATTTTTCAAACAAATAAAAAATAATCGTTTTTAACAAAATTTTATTTACTTAAAAACAAGATGAAAAAATATTCTTATTTAACAAAATATCTTTGTTTTAAATTTTAAATTCAAAAGTTTGAAATTGAAAATTATATAAATTCATTTACCTTGTCAATAAAAAAATAGTTTGTAAATTCAAAATTCCATTATTTTTATATAGTTATTCAAAAACTATTTTGTTTATAACGAAAAGTATAGCAAAATTTTATTGTTATTAATTTTAATTATAATTTCTTTTTTAAGAAAATAAAGTGCAAAATAGTTAAAGACGAGTGAAAAATGAGTATTATTACATAATGTACAGTATATAAGAGTAATTTATAAAAATTATAATCCCGTATATGTAACATTTCCCGTTATAAATTTCTAAGTCAAATTAGCTGTACTTTTATTATTATTAAACATCATATTGTAATGTCAACTATTCAAAAAATATACTGATCTTATTTTTCAAGAAAAATGTCCGTTAAATTTTTTATTGTACACATAATATACTAAAGACAAAATTAAAAACAATTTTATTTTAATTAATTAAACATTATATTATAATTATAATTAATATTAATTATTTAAATTAATTATAATTATAATTATTATAATTAATAATTATAATTATAATTATTATAATTAATAATTATAATTGATAATATGTAATTTTAATTATTCATATTGTAATTAATAGATATTATTATTTTTATTATTAATGTTATCAGAATTAATATTATTATTATTATTATTATAAAACTGTTTTCATAACATTTTAAATCACATTATAAGTTTAGATTTTTCCCGCGCGAACCGTTAAATCTGTGACGCATGCGTGGCGGTAAAATTAGTTCCGAGTTTGTCTACTAGAGAGCGAAAGTTACTGGTCAAGTAAATTTGTTGTATTTGTTAACTTGCTCTGTAATTTTTTTAATTTTAGTAAAAAATTAGTGACTATTTTGTTTACAATAACAATATATCGAAAATTTTGTAACTATTGTTTCATATTTGTAAATAATTGTCCATTAATAAAGTGTTTTTAACTCAAGTGACTTATTCTTAAAAATCAATCACATTTTCTAACCTCAAAAAATGTCTGACGAGGAATTCGAAGCTGACGAGTAAGTTATTTCATTATTCGTTTTTTTTTTGCAATTAGATATTTCGCTGGCTTGGAGAAAAACTGTGCCATTTCAAGAATTCGTTATAAACAATACCAATTCAAAAGTTTGTTATAAAACATATCATTTCGATGAAGATCTATAAAATTGTTGAACTGAAGAATTCTTAATGATTAGCAAGCAATTGTTTTTAATTAATAGAAACCTTTGTTTTTTTTTAGTATCGCTGACGATTTTGAGGATGATATTGAATTGGAGAATAAGGAGGATGAAGGAGAAACTTTTGAATTACTTACCGCAGGAGGAGAAGATGGTTCTGGAGGTGTTGAAACGTCGAAACGAATAACAACAAAATATATGACAAAGTAAGTAAATTTATAGGGTAAACGTACCAATTGTCGAGGATTTATCTATTTTTCGAGTTTGGCAGATATGAAACCTTTTAGAAACGTTCCTCGAACGTAAATGTTTTTAAACGCACCTTTAAATAAAAGTAATCTAAACATAACCTCAAATTTACATTTAACACACATAATTGAGGAGTAAGTTTTCAAAACCTGATAAATCCAAATTTTGTAATTTCGAAAAATTTAAACAAATGACAATTCTCATATAACCATTACAATTAACTTTAATGTAAAAAAATTGTAATAAATTATTCATTTTTGAATATTTTTTTTTATTTAAAACGCTTGTAAAACGTATTTAAACGTTTGTAATTAAAGTCTATTGTAATAAGGGAATTTAAAGGTTTTGGTAGTTTCTTCTAATAAAAAAATTTAAATTATCCTAAAAATCATCAAGGTTAGGCCAAAATATTTTTTAATTTTAAATTTAAAATTCTCTGGTACAGTACATTTTTTTTTCTTAAATTGAACAATAATAAATCGATTTTTAGGAATTTTAATATTTTGAATATGTGTTTATCTGAATTTTTTTGAAAAATGGATTTATCAACTTTTGAAAAATTGCTAAAAAAATAATTTAAATATTCCAAAAAATTATTTTTAAGGTAATTTTTTGTGAGGAATCCAATGGTCATAAAATAAAATCGGTCAGAAAATATTTTAACCCTTTTTGAATTTTTATTTTATTGAACAATTTTGTAGATTTTGAAATGCATGCGTAATTTTGTAGTTAATATACATATATATATGTTTTTGAATCCAGAAAAAAATTTATTTTCATAACTTTTGAAGCATTTTTTCGAAAAAAATCTTTGTTCTTAGGCTGAAAATACTAAAAAAAATATTATTATTATTATTCAATTTTTTTATTTGAAAATTCATTTGTTTATTTTTGTAACTAATTTCAGATCATAATTTTTATAAAGATATGGGTGATTCTCCCGAAATACTCCTTTTTGTGAGTTACAAACAGAAAAGAAAAAAAATTATTATTTATGGATTAATGCAGTCAATTATATTGAGCTTTCAAAAATCTACCACCTCTATAGCATGATCATGCTAACTTTTAGCTTTTAAACTATATATTTTAAATTAAAATTTTCAAAAAAATTAAGAGGTTAAAATTTGGCGCCGGCGTTTTTTATTATATATATTTTTCTATTTACAAAAAATTATTTAAAAATTATAATTTATTAATATTATCTATAAATTTTATAGATTTTGAAATACTTACAGTTATCAAAAATCTCTTTAAACAATTGTCAAAAATTATTTTTCATACATTTTAGGTTCACTTTTCACTGGCAGTTTGTAAACAACCGACAATCATATCAATTTTTAATTTTTATTCAAAAAAGTGAGAGGAATGACGGGTGAGAGGAATGACGATTTCAACATTTTTTAATTTTATTTAATTGACAAATAATTTTCCTCCAGCTTAGAATGCCCTATCATGTTTATAAAGGATAACTTTATGTGAAAAAAATTTGCGATCAATTTATATATATTAATATTGTTTTTATTAGGGGTGAGAGGAATGACGCTTTAGGTTGTGAATCTCTGCTTATGTCTCAATTTTAATTTTTTTAACGCAAAATAATGACATTTTTTAAAAAGTAACTTAAGAAATTAATATTAGAGATGTTAATTTAAATATTGATCACAATAATTAATCAATATCTCTACCCACAGCAAAAATATTGGATAATATTAAACGAGTGAGAGGAATGACGCGGTACTACATGACAAATTTCATTTTCTATATTTAAAAAAACTACACGACATATTTTATTTTTATTTTTGAAAATTATTCTTAAATATCATAACTTTTAGAAAAAATTAATAAAGTACCAATTTTCATGTTTTAAATAATTGTTTTACCTATTGAAAAAATGAAAAGCACTTAGATGACAGGTTAGAAAATCGATTTTGAGGTAGTAAAATATTTTAAAAATGTATTAAACAATAAAATTTTACAACTTTTTCTTGCAGAACATTTAGAAAAAGTGATAAAATAGGGAAATATGACTTGGTATTTTCCCAAATGATTATAATTATTTAGAAAATCTTGATTACATGCAAAATAAGATTTTTTGGAGAATCACCCATATAAAAAATATGATAAAATTATGGTCTGAAATTAGTTAGAAAAATAAAGAAAAATAAATTTTCAAATAAAAGAATTGAATAACAATAATAGTATTTTTTTTAGCATTTTCATCCTAAAAGCAAAATTCAAAATCTACCAATTTTTCAGTATAAAATCAAAATTCAAAAAGGTTCAAAATATTTTCTGACATATTTTATTTTTTGACCATTGAATTCCTTATAGAAAATTACCTTAAAAATAATTCTGTAAAATATTTAAATTATTTTCTTGGTATAATTAAAAATATCGATGAATCCTTCTCATAAAATTTTTCATAATTTAGGGTACTTGTATTTTAAAAATTTAAATTAATAAATATTTCTTTAAACAGGTACGAGAGAGCTCGAGTTTTAGGAACGCGAGCCCTGCAAATTGCAATGTGCGCTCCGGTTATGGTCGAATTAGAAGGAGAAACTGATCCATTACAAATTGCAATGAAGGAATTAAAGCAGAGAAAAATTCCAATTATCATTCGTCGCTTTTTACCTGATAACAGTTATGAAGATTGGGGTATTGACGAACTAATTATAACTGATCTTTAGAAAAGAAAACATAATTTTAAGTTAACTTTTAAATTTAAGATCCATTCCGACAGTGAGAATATGTTTATAATTTTTGTAGACACAAAATAAATATTTAGTTTAAATATATTTAAATAAACTTTGTTTAGAATTTAATTTTTTCTCGTCTTATTCTTCACGCTCAATAATTAATTTTAAAAAAGTATCAAAAAGTAGATTAATTTTAACGAATAAACAAAATTGTTTTAGTCGATTCACAAAAATTTGATTAAAATTAAAATCTTTTAAAATTTAGTTATTTCTAAAAGAAATTTTAAATCAATTCTTCATTAGATAGTTCGACTGAAATTCAACTATTTAAATACAAAAATAAATAATATGTTGAATAATTGAATGTTTCTTAAAATTTAATTATAAAGAATTTATCAATTTTTAAAAAAATAATTCTATTTCTGAGAAGAATTTTATTATTTATAAAAATCATTGAATTTTTGGGAAGAATTTTATTAAAATTTTTCAAAGTAGGTAATTAAATTCTTGAGAAGAATTTTATTATATTTATGCGAAAATAATTGTATAGTATTCTTGCCTGGGATTTTATTTAAATTTTTATAAATAATTGAATTTTCGTGAAAAATGTTATTGCTTGTGAAAATAATTGAATTCTTGCGGTAGAATTTTATAAAAAGTTTTTAAATTGATTTTTTTTCGAAAAATTTTATGAAATATTTTAAATCATTCAATTTCTGTAAAAATTTTATTATGTACTTATAAAAAAATTAAATGTTTGCAAAGAATTTTAACGAAAATCTTTTGTGATTTGCGATCAAGAATCTTTGTGAAAATCATTGATTTTCCAAAAGTTTTTGAGAATAAATTGAATCATTTTAAAAAAATTTATTACAATTTTTTATTTATTTAAACTATTAGCGAATTTAAAGTGATGCAAATTTCCCCCAAAAATAAAGAAAAAAGTAGCTTTTCGTTTCATAAATCTAAAAAAGTATCGAAAAAAGACCTTTCTTTTAGGCTTTCTAAAGCCTTCTACCTCGTAAGGTGTTAAACTTATTAAATTTAAAATTATTATTTTAAGATTTTAGCCTATAATTTTGAAATTGGCGCTAATTTTTAAAACAGCGACTTCGCCATCTATCGACGAAAGTTATCAAAATTTACCATTGAGGTTATGTTTAAAGTGAAAAAATGAGAATGTGACTTCCTTTTTTAATTTTTAGAATAGAATATTAAAATATTAATGATACTTATGTAAAATTATTTGACTTCCATGGCCGTTTTACATCGAGCGCTATTCACTTGGTTCAATTTTTTGATATTTTTAATATTACTTGTGCTTCGACTCGATCAAAGAATACAATGGAATTGGTTTATTGTTTTCATGCCAATGTGGATACACGACAATATTTTGATGATTTACATTATATTTCATATGATTTCGCATTGTAAAAATGGACCCAATCGTATTATTCTCACACTAAGGATAAAGGTAGGTTTTTTTGTAAACAAAAAAAATTTGTCTCTTCATATTTTAATTTTTGGTGTATCCTTACTCTAGATTTTTTTTTTTTTGCTTCTATTAATCGTTTCGAATTTCTTTTTCAGCCTTGGTACATTGTTATTGCAGTGCTTTTAAAAATGAGCGCACAAATATTAATCTGCCTAAAACTTGAAGTACCACAGTGGCAAATTTCAGCGAAAGCTGTTTTGGCTCCATATTTGGTTTTATTTTCGGCATTGGCCGTTGACGTTTTTTTTGATCTCATCATCAGTTCCCGGCTCACTTTATAGAAACAAAAAGAATTGAGGAAAATGTATTTCACTTGCAACATTCCACATTCAACAGGTATAAAAATTTGCTTCTTGGGTGAAAAAAGTGATAAAAGTACATTCGTTTTTTAAACTTTTAAGAACGTATTAAAAATCGTCAAAATCGCACTTGTTTGAATTTCTTCACGTTGAAAAATTCTAAGTTTTTTCGCTAAATTTTTTTTGAAATCTTTTTGCAGGGATCACAGTGATTTTTTCATGTAATATTAAGTAAAATAGGGAATTTCATTTTCCAAAAAGAAGGAATTTTAAATTAAATAAAAATTATTGTATTATTGCGCATAAAATTTATTTTAAAGATTTTTTTACTTTTTCTTTCAACTTCAGCTTTTTTAAATCAAATTATTTTTTTTTATTAAACTTTTTCTGTTAATTATGGACATTTTCCCATAATTAATTCTTTAAATTCGGTGTACGAAGTAAACAGAAAAAATTAATATAATTAACTTGAGACTTAAGAAAATTTCCTTCAAAAATAGTAAAATTTAATGTTAAAAATTGTTTATTTCCAGAATAACTTTAATTTTATTTAAAGACAATTTTTTTATACAAATTAAAAATATTAAAAATTTGAAAAGTATTTAAAAATAGTAAAATTTACTCTAAAAATTTAGAATATTTAATAGCTAATTGATGTTCGAAGAAAAATTGAATTTTTATTTAAAAAATTGACATTGAAAATAGTAAATTTTATAATGTCCGTATAGTAAATTTTTTTGAAAATTTGTAAAATATACTTTGAATTTAGTAATATTTATTCTGAAATAAATTAATACAATTTGTCAAAAATTCCAAACAATTTGAATTTTTCTCAAAAGTAAAACTTATTTTATATTTGTTATCTTTTATGAAAAAATTTCTAAGTTAAAAAACTGAGAAATAATATAAAATGATTTTGAAGTTTGAAAATACTAAAATTTTTCCAAATTTTGTGAAAAGTAAAAATTTTTTCATCAAGTATAACTAAAAAATTTTCTAACTTACAAAAAATAACAATTTTTACAAGTTTTTCTTAAAAATAAGGGTACTAACTGTGATCCCTGCTTTTGGATCAATTTTTTAAAAGTTCGAAAATTTTTTTTCTCCTTTTTCAAATCCAATCATTTTAGGTACATTAATTTTTTTTTGCTTCTTAATTTTGTAAAAATTCGATAAATTTTTAAAATCTAATTTTTTGGTATCAATTTCTTTTTGTTTCTTATATTAATTTTTTAAAAGTTCAGACACCTTTTTCTCTTTTTTTAAATCTAATCTTTTTATATAAATTTTTATTCCTTCTTAATTTTTTAAAAATTCTAATAGTTTTTCGCTAAATTTTTAAAATTCAATTTTTTTGGGACCAATTTCTTTTTGCTTATATTAATTTTTTAAGTTCGAATATTTTTTTCTCGTTTTTCAAATCCAATCTTTTCATATCAATTTTTTTCCTGCTTCTTAATTTTATAAAAATTCTAATAGTTTTTTCACTACCTAAATTTTTAAAATCCAATTTTTTTTTGCTTACCTATATTAATTTTTTAAGTTCGAATACTTTTTTCTCTTTTTTAAAAAACAATTTTTTCGCTTCTTATTATTAATATTATACAAATTTTTTTTACTTAAAATTTATTTTTTTAGCAGAATTTTTCAAATCTTGTTTTCTTCTACTCCAAATATTTTTATTTCAAGTCTTAAAAAGAATCATTTTGTTAGATCTGTTTTTTTTCAAAAAAAAAAATATGTTACAGGTTATATTAGAGTAAATTGTTGTTATTACAATTGTATAGATTACATTTTATGAATAGTCAACAATGAATTTTATCATTTTTATTGTACTCTGTTTTCAAAGAATTTTTCATTTCAAAAATATATATTGCCTACGTCTTTCTAGGTTAACGATAAATATTTGTTTTTTCTCATAATAATTTTATCAATTTTATTGAAATAGTAAAAAAATTGATTTACAAAATCGTCGAATTGAATTTCGAAATTTGATTACACTTGTATTTCTTTAGAAAATTTAATGAAATCGATTGAATGCGTATTTTATTTACTTCTCTAATTAATTAATTAAGTGACAAATTTTTTTTCTTCTTACTATATTTTAATAGCGAAAGTGGTTTTTTTTAATAAACAAATTACTTATTTTTTTAAACAAAAACTTATTAATAATAAATTAAATCATTCTAATTAATAATTATTTAGTTAAAAAGATAAATAATTTATTTAATAAAAAAAAACCATTTTCACTTTTAAAATATAATGGGAAAGAGAAAAAAATGTTATTCGGTCTAAAGTCGACACGAAAAAACTGTAAATAACGGGAAAAAAAAATTCCATTCAATAAATAAATTGAAACCTTGCAATTACAAAGTATCGAACACACGTAATTTCTATCAAATTACGCATATAATTAAAATAGATGTCATTAATAGATTTTAGATAAAAATGATCAATTTTTTGAGCAGGATGCGAATATTACATAATTCACATGTCTTTTTAGATCTTTAACGATAATGATAGAAGCAAGTCGTCAGATAGAACAATTACTGAAACATTTCAATAGACTTTAATAGACAATAGAAAGATAATAAAAGTTCAACCCGCGGTAAATTAAATTCAACTCGCGCGATTAAGACAGAGAGAGAGAAATAAATAACGCAACATCCAATTTGTGTGACTCTTTTTTTTCTTATTTATTTTCATCGCGGAATTTGACGTGACGCAATTTATTTGCCAACAAAAAAAAATTTTTTTTTCTCTCTTTGCCTATTTATTTGTTTTCAAAAACTGATTGATTGATACTCAAGGGTTTTTCGTATGTGGAATTTCCTCGTGTTCATGTTGTTCAGTTTTATGTTAGAAAATGAATTGTGATGATGAGTGGCAGAGAGACAAAACTCACTCTATAAATACTCGCATTGAGCCAAGGATGAATAGGACAGAGAGATATAAATAAGTAAAACTAAAAGATGTTCATTATTACCAAAGCATTCTCATTAGTTCAGTAAGTTTCAATTTTTTTAGTGATTAAAAAAAAAATAAATAAAAAAATAAAGTTCTTATTGAAAATTACAGAGAAAGTAAAAATTTTCATTTTCTTTGTCAATTTTCGAGACTAGGTGATATTTTTTTTATTTTGTTATTTTATTCAATTGAATTGATGTAATGTTGCATTTTTTATGAGGTAATTATCGTGCGGACAATTCATCAAGTGCTAATTAAATTCCTGGGTGACATTAAAACATAAAAAAAAAGAAAAAGAAACATGTGCTTTTTGAGAGGGAGGGAAAAATATTGTTTCTGTCCCTTCTTTCTTTTTCTCTTAGTCACAGTTGAGAGCAAGTTGGTTCGACAGCGGCTCGTAAAATAGATAAATTATTACAAAGTGATTTTATTTTTTTTCAAGTTTATTTTTTTGAAATTTTCCTCTTTTTTTCTTGTCAGGGATTTTTCTTTGAATCGTTATTTTATAAATTGTCTTTTTATTTCTTATTAAGTATTTTTTTATTATAATTACAATTAAATTATTTTCATTACTACAGTATTATTATTATTATTATTTTTACTTTCATTTTCGTTTTCACAATTACAATTATTTATAATATTTTATTTATTTATTACTATCATTTATTCTTTTCTCAAAAACAAAATTAATTTCTCTCATTTCACAAATTTTAATTTTCAAAAATTACGAATGAATGTCGAAATAGATTTCTTTCCGTTTTGTCTAAAAATAAGGAAAACAAAATTCCAAAATTTTGGGTGTTAGAAAATTTCTTACTTTTTCTGTAATTTTTTTTTTTTTTTTTTGCAGATGACGGAAAGAATAATTATTTTATTTCTATTGTCACTAATTGTGACGAATTATGAGGCTGATTCAGTGATAGTGACAGAAGTAAGGGCTGGAAATTTAGCGGAATTACCATGCCCGAGCAATGACGATCGTCATCGCTTTATGTTTTGGCAATTGGCTGACGAAAATATTATCGTCGGTCCCGGAAATCCGATCGATCAAGAAAAATACAATTACGAAGTGCTCACTGGCAAACTTTTTATAAGGGTAAGAAATTAAATAACAAATAATATTATTTACTATTTATAATTTATAAATATTAAGAAATATACTGTATATAATTATTTATTTATAGACGGGAAATAGTAAAAATAATAATAAAATAATAAATTTTAAAAATATAATAATAATAGGTATTAATAATATAATATTGATATAATTATTATAATTATAATTATTATTATTATAATTATCTTATCTTATATTATATTAAAATGTTTCCTTCGTCCACAAAATTTTTCGTTCAACGTTTAACACTAAAAAAAAAAACTTTTTCGTACACTAAAAAAATATATATATATATATATATATATATATATATATATTATATAAATATATTATTAATATATATAATATATACCTATATATATACTAGGGGGGCTTCGCCCCCCTGCGCGCCAACCCCCTATCTCTATTTTTATATTTATTTTAATTAAAATTTTTATAAAGGCCGTAGCAGTATAAGCATGTAAAAAGTGCCCCCTCTTGGATTGGGTCCATATTTAGAGAATAATTTTGATCTATTATGAGACTTATTTTCACCAAGTTTCAACTCGAAAAAAAATTTTGCTTTTGAGTTATACAATTTTTTTGAAAAATTCAAAAAAATTCAAAAATTTTTTTTCCCTCCAAAATGGCTGAACCGATTTTCATAAAACAATTTTTTTTGTACAATACAATATAAACAGTTGATAAAAAAAAATTGTCGACCAAATTCAAACAAAAAAAGTCAGTATATAAAGTCAGTAAAAAAAAAAATTTTTTTTAATTTTTTTAAAAAAACATTTTTTTTTATTGAAATTTTTTTTGCACCACCGCCATTTTTTTTACATAAGATAATAGTCATTTCAAAAGTAACATATAATTTTTGCAAGATGATTGAAAGGGTACTTCATAATTTAAAAAATAAAAAACCAATTTTTGGCCCCTAAATAGTACATATAAACGAGGGGCCAACATTTTTTAAAATTAAATTAAAAATTAATTAATACTTAAATTAAATTTCTAAACAGTTGATAATATATGCCTGTTTATTGTAAATATTGATATTTTAGTCAACTTTTCAAAAAAATTTACAAAAAAAAAAAATTTTTTTTGAAGTTTTTTCAACATTGGCATATTTTTTAAAAATTGTAGAAAAAATTTGAAATTTACTTAGATTTAAGTTTTATCTTTAACTTAAGACCAAAAGAATTTAAAAATCTTATTCGGTTCGTGGGATCCCAATATACATATATAGAAAATATCTACTGCTTTGATTCAAAAATAATATTTGTTTGAATAATTGTGTTTAATTCAAATATATTTTCTGTTTTGGTTAAAAAAAAATATGTTTAAAAATGTTATGTTTGATCTAAAGTTAAATGTTGATTAGAAATAATTTAAAATCAACCATAAATTATGTTTGAATTGAATATATTATTTCTATAAATGAACCAAAAAATATGTTTGAATTAAACTTAAATTTGTTTGACTGTATAGCAAAGATATTTTAAGTTTGATTTAAACAAAAATTTTTTGAATCAAATAAATCGTTTTCTCAGTGTATTTACAAAAAAATTGTGTTTTCAAGATTGACATGTTTTTGGGCCGTGCGCGTGCAGCCGTACCGGTAATTCCCAACGGTACATAGTGTACGTCCATTTACTTTTTTAATAAATCTTGTACATACTAAAAAATCAATATATACAATAAACAGGCATATATTATTAACTTTTTTAGAAATTTAATTTAAGTATTAATTAATTTTTAATTTAATTTTAAAAAATGTTGGCCCCTCGTTTATATGTACTATTTAGGGGCCAAAAATTGGTTTTTTATTTTTTAAAGTATGAAGTACCCTTTCAAACATCTTGCAAAAAATATATGTTACTTTTGAAATGACTATTATCTTATGTAAAAAAAAATGGCGGTGGTGCAAAAAAAATTTCAATAAAAAAAAATGTTTTTTTAAAAAAATTAAAAAAATTTTTTTTTTTACTGACTTTATTTACTGACTTTTTTTGTTTGAATTTGGTCGACAATTTTTTTTTATCAACTGTTTATATTGTATTGTACAAAAAAAATTGTTTTATGAAAATCGGTTCAGCCACTTTGGAGGGAAAAAAAATTTTTGAATTTTTTTGAATTTTTCAAAAAAATTGTATAACTCAAAAGCAAAATTTTTTTTCGAGTTGAAACTTGGTGAAAATAAGTCTCATAATAGGTCAAAGTTATTCCCTAAATATGGACCTAATCCAAGAGGGGGCACTTTTTACATGCTTATACTGCTACGGCCTTTAAAATAATGTTTTCTTACACGGAAAAATCCATTTTTAAGGTTATCACATCCATATACCACATCCATTTCTTTAGTTGACACATCCATAGAAAAAAAATGGATATCCCGTATTTTTCAATATACATATGTATATGGTTGTCCCAACCATGCAGTTTTTTCCGTGTATATGAATGCATCATAATAAATTACATACAACCCCCTATCTGTATTTTTTATATTTATTTTAATTTTTATAAATTTCAAATAATGTTTTTTTAATATGAATGCATCATAATAAATTACAATAAGTATATGACAAAGTACACATGGATTTTGAAGTAATGAAACAATCGTTATTGACCTTTTTTTAACCTTTTTTTTTTTAATAAATTAGATTAAATTTTGACTTATATTTTGACTCTATTTAATTTTAAAGTTATGTTTGCTTTCCCACCTATTATTTTGACCTAATTTTGGCGTTTTATTTTTACTCTCTCGCCTATAACTTTTAAACTAAGTTTGAGGTTATGTTTTCCTCTAAAGGAAAATAAAATTTTTAAAAATAGACGTCAGTTTATAACATCTTTTATTGATTTAAACTTACTATTAAAATTTAAGTCAAGCTTCTTTTAACCTATAGGTAAAAAATTTTGTCAAATTTTAATATAAGGTAACGACCTCATGAAGTTTCTTAATTAATTTGCTTTTTTGATAAGTAGGTTAAAAAATATGTCAAATTTGACCTAAATTTTGAGGGAAAGTCAGGCCAGAAGGAGTTTTCTCGACAATTTTTGCGGTGTAGATAAAAACTGCTCTTAAAATTGACCTAAATTTTGAGGTCAGAGGGAATTGTTCGTCAATTTTCTCCGTTTAGGTCAAAATCTTTTAAAATTGACCTACATTTTGAGAGCAGAGGGAATTGTTTGTCAATTTTTTACCTTTAGGTTAAAACTGCCCTTCAAATTGACATGAATATTAAGGACAGACGGATAAGTTTGTCATTTTTTGACCTGCAGGTTGAATCTGCCTTTAAAATTGAACTAAATTTTTCGAGCAGAGGGAATTGTTTGTCAATTTTTGACCTGTAGATTAAAACTGCCCTTAAAATTGACCAACATTTTGAGGTCAGAGAGAATTGTTTGTGAATTTTTGACGTTTAGGTCAAAACTGCCCTTAAAATTGACCTACATTTTGAGGGCAGAGGGAATTGCTTGTCAATTTTTTACCTGTAGGTTAAAACTGCCCTTCAAATTGACATAAATTTTAAGGGCAGAGGGATTAGTTTGTCAATTTTTGACCTGTAGATTAAAACTGCTCTTAAAATTGACCTAAATTTTGAGGGTAGAGGAAATTGTTTGTCAATGTTTGACCTGTAGGTTAAAACTGCCCTTAAATTTGACCTAAATTTTGAGGGCAGAGCGATAAGTTTATCAATTTTTGACTTTTAAGTCAAAACTATCCTTAAAATTGACTTAAAGTTTGAGGGCATATTGGTTAGTTTGTCATTGTTTAACCTGTAGGTTAAATCTGCCCTTAAAATTGACCTAAATTTTGAAGGCTGAGGGATTAGTTTGTCAATTTTTGACCTGTATGTTAAAACTGCCCTTAAAATTGACCTGAATTCAGGTCAAATGTAACTTGTTTCTGACTATGGGCCTACCTTAACAGTGGGCCAACCTTGACTATGTAGATGATTTAACTAACAGATATCAACAAAAGAAAAGTCACAAACACAACAGAAAGCAAATATCAAAACTCAAAATCATAAAAAAAACATTTTTTTACAAACTTAAAATACCAACAATATGTATGCAAACTAGACCAACTTGACAACAACATATGTAAAAATTAGAGTTATGAACTGACCAAGGATTTTATTTTTGGAGATAACTCCTAGTGAGACTCCTAATCATCTTGGAGAATTTCAAAAAAATCGCTGCCCGGAAACTCTTAATTTTTTGCCCTAAAAAATCGAAAAATTAGGTAAAAATAGAGAAAAAAATGGCAAAATTAGAGTTATCAATTGACCAAGGATTTTATTTTTGGTAATGGCTCCTAGTGAGTCTCCTAACATTCCTACACAATTTCAAAAAAATCGCTGCCCGGAAACTCAATTTTTTGCCCTAAAAAATCGAAAATGGTTTCTTTTTTGCTATGAAATCACCACGAATTCTAATACAAAACTTTCAAATTTTTCTATTTCCGACAGTAATATTTCTTTTTAAATAACTTCATTCTTAAAAAACAACCATACAATTATTGTTATTTATAAATTATTATTTATTGAATAACTTTATTTAAATATTTCAATATTAATTGCCATTTAAAAGAATTGAGTTTACAATTTTCAAAAATAGATGAACTTCAAAAGGCTTTAATTTGAAATTTCATAAACTTTCAATTTTTAATGAATGTAATTAGAAACTATAAAAAACTTAGATTTTTTCAAAATGTTAATAGTTCAAATTCTTCTTGAGATTAGTTAAATTTATCAATATATGTAGACGTCCACATGAAAAGGGCCCATATTGTCGGTTATAGTTTTCGAGATAATCGCAATTTAGTAATTTTGGAGCAAAATCTTAATTTTTTAAAATTTTTTTATTATCAATCTACATGTTTTGACAAGTCGAATCATGCGGTTTTCATTAATTTATCGATAATTTAACTGTTTGATTTCATTGGTTCTTTAGAAAAATGAAAAGGGCCCTTTTTGTCGGTCATTTGCAAAAGTAATCCGTATTTTAAAAATGGAGGTGTGGAAAAATTTAAAACCTCTTGATTTTTCTGTAAACAATTCTTATCTGAATAACTTCCCAGAAGAACCAGAGATACTGATGTTAGAGTCTTTTTTTTCGTAATTGTCGAAATGAAAATTTGAATATTGCGTCAATTTTCTCATAATAGAGACTGTCAAAAAATTTTAAATAAGTTTAATATCTATTCTTTTTCTTCAAATGACACAATAAAATTGTACCTAATCATTAATCTTGTAAAAAAATGATTTTTTAATAGAAAAACTGTCCTTTTTAGAAAAGGGCCCATATTGTCGATTTTTCGTATTTTCAAAATTAAAAGGGGGTTTACAAGATTAATGATTAGGTACAATTTTATTGTGTCATTTGAAGAAAAAGAATAGATATTAAACTTATTTAAAATTTTTTGACAGTCTCTATTATGAAAAAATTGACGCAATATCCAAATTTTCATTTCGACAATTACAAAAAAAGACTCTAACATCAATATCTCTGGTTCTTCTGGGAAGTTATTCAGATAAGAATTGTTTACAGTCCAGGACACCTTAAAGATGAAAAATCAAGAGGTTTTAAATTTTTCCACACCTCCATTTTCAAAATACGGATTACTTTTGCAAATGACCGACAAAATGGGTCCTTTTCATTTTTCTAAAGAACGAATGAAATCAAACAGTTAAATTATCAATAAATTAATTAATACCGAATGATTTGACTTGTCAAAACATGTAGATTGATAATAAAAAATAAAAAAAAAATTAAGATTTTGCTCCAAAATTACTAAATTGCGATTATCTCGAAAACTAGAACCGACAATATGGGCCCTTTTCATGTGGACGTCCACATATAAAGCTCTACAAAGCTGCAGTTTTTAATTAATAACTTTTTTCTAATTAAGGCTAATTTTTTTTCGAAACGGTTTTACACTCGGAGACATTTGAGGAATAGAATAAAATTTTAATTTTTTTGTTAGGACGTGAAGAACATATTTGTTTATTAACATTTTATAAACAAATTATATAAAAAATTATAAAAAATAATTAAAAATTTAAAAACAAAAAATATATTCAAATAGTACAATCCAAGACGAAAAAAACCCATATTCTAATTTTAAAATCTGTCAACTGGAACTCGAGAAAAAAATTTGTTAATTAAGCAGTACTAAAAAATTCAATTGTTAATAACTTTTACAAAAAATTATTTTTTGCCTTAATATTTTCAGGGATTTTTCTTAACGATATTAAGAGTAAAAAAAAACTATTTTGGTTCAAAAAAAATTTTTTTAGTTTTAGGTGATCCGTTTGAGAAATTCTGACCCATTGAGAAATAAAAATTATACATAAAATGGATATATTTCCTATTTCTTAATCATAATTTTTAACAATTAACAATTTTCTAATATTTTTTATAAATAAAAAGCATACAAATTTGTATAATTTAGATCAGTCAAACGAAGTTTCTTATAAAAAGCGTATAAAAACAAAATTTATTTGTTAATCATAGGGGAGAGTGGGGCAAACCGGACTGGTGGGTAAACCGGACCCCCCTCAATATTTCCGAAATGGCGAAATTGGAAAAAGTGTTGTTTACAAATTTAAAACAACCATGTTTAGCATACCTTATTTTTTCAATCTGACAGTTTTAGCTTGCGTTTGCGCGACGAAGGGAGCAAAAGTTTTTTTTTTAGTTTTTTTCTACACTTTTACGAATTTTTTCTTAAGGAAATTCTGAGGAAATCGTGTAATGTTTCCAAATATTAGGTCTTAGGTTTTGAAGGTACACACCTCAGGAATATTTACCACCAAAAACTTTGATGAATTTGCAAAGCGTTTCTTTTTGACCGTTTTCGGTGGGGCAAATCGGCCATAGGATATTTCCATTGAATTAAAGTTTCATTAAAATATTTACTTACAATGGAAAATAATTGTCTTCCAATGAGAATTGGACCCTTTAATATTGTTTCTCTGATAATGACAAACATTTTTATTTTTTTATTAAAAAAAATATTTATTTAATTAAAATTCAATCCCGTATTATTATTTTCATTACTACAACAATTGTTTACATGATTCTTTATGTTTTTTATTATTGTAGATTATGTAAATGCAATATTATAAATAAAAAACCAAACGGTCCGGTTTGCCCATGGGGGGTCCGGTTTACCCCAGGGGGTGGGGCAAACCGGACCGTTTGCAAAATTTGTTAAAGTTAACACAGCAACTAAACAATAAAAGATAAAGTATAGGTGTCTCTAGGAAAAAGTTGCGCAATTAAATGATCTTTCAAACAAGCCATCGAAAAATGAAATCGGTTGATTCGTTTAGTCACAAGAGTCAAAAAACCGTTAGGGGGTCCGGTTTGCCCCACTCTCCCCTAATAATTTTTTTAAAATTTTTAAATTTTCCAATTTCAAATATTATTTTATTATAAATCATGAAAAATACCTGCATATTTTCTATTTGTCAAACAATATTTTCTAAAGAAAAAAAAACAAAACCTTACGCAAAAGTCAAACTTCCGATGTGGACAAACAGAATGAATGAATTATTGATTATTAAATTTAATTATATTTAATAATAAGTAATATTATATTTAATTATTGCATATTTTTACTTAAGTAATTCATATTTGGTACAAATAACTATTTATTTGATGCTATAAAATAAAATATTTATGTTCAGTAAACATTTACTTATCTCAAATAAATAAAAACAAATAATTATAAATACAACCGAGCGAGCGTTAGCGAGTGAGGACATGTCGCTAGTTATTATTATTTATTATCAGAATAATTATAATATTAAATTATTACTAATTAAAATGTTAAATAATTACTAATTAAAATTTTAATTTATTAATAATAATTTTTGAATTTACAAACTTGAATAACAAAAATTTAAAAACAGAATTTAATTTCGTTAATTAAAAAAATTGATTAAAACAACGGTTAAAAAACAATTTAATAAATTTAATTTTATCATGTAGGTAATTAAAACTTGTTTTTCCTAATTAATTACTATTTCCTTTTAATTAATTTCAGCAAGTTTCTACCTCCGAGTCAGGTTTTTATAAATGCGTTTCCCGAGGACTGAAAAACGCCGCGGCGATTAATATCCAATTGGTGGAATTAATTGTCAGCAAAGATCAAATTATCGAAAGTAATTTTGAGGTAGGAAAATAGAAAATTTACAAAACTTCAATATTAAAAATAAAAAACAAAAAAAATACAAAATATAAAAATAAATTTTATAAAAATATAAAATTGCACGAAAAATTTTCTTTTCTTCTCTTCTCACGTGATGAGAATATGTAAAAAATTAATCTTTTAAAAAACTAAAATTATAAAATATTTTTTTTAATAAAAATATACGTTAAATAAAGATTTAAAAAAAATATATTTTCCAGACACATCTACTGAAAACATTAACAATAGTGATGTTAATACTTGTGGCAATAGCCGGCGTTCTTCTTATAATAGTTTACAAAAAAAAGAAAGCCAACCGTTTCTTTGGTAAGTAAATACAAAAAAAAATTTGCTAAGGTACCTAAGAAGCAAAAAATCTTAGGTTATGTTTATGATTTTTTGAATGAAAATCAAAAATACAGGAAGAAAGTCAATTATTACTAAAAATTAATGATCTTCAAGTCTTTATCACATTAAAGATATTCAATAAAAACTGGTTTTAAATTTACCTAATTAAATATATATTTTTAATCCTTTTAATCAAGATAAATCTAATACAAACAATCTATAATTCGTCTGCTTCTTTAGGTACCTTTCTTGGGAGCGCGCGTCACAATTATTAATTTATTAATTCTCAAATTATAGAAATGGACGAGTCTCGTGAAAATTCACCGGGAAAATATAATGAAAAATTTCCAAGTAGAACAGCAGCATCGACAGCGTCAGCAGCAGCAACAACAACAAGAACAACATTAGCAACACCAACAACAGCAACATCGTCGGGAAAAATTGGTGTCGATAATGGGGGTCTGGATGTTGATTTTCCAAAATCGTTTATTCACATGGAAAAAGATGAACCACTTTTCTAAGAGTCGAGAGAGGGGAAAACAATTCTTAAGAAAAAAAAAACTAAAAAAAATGGGAATAAAATTTTGTTTGTAAATTTTTTTCCTATTTTTTTCTACTGACCCCCCTCCCCCCTTTCCCTCTCTTTCGACAAATTAGTTTAAGAAAGCTTAATAAGGCTGTGTAGTTAAAGTTGTTAATTATTGATATAAACATATATTATAAAGTAAATTGTAAATAACTTTCGTATTTTGAAAATTTCAATCAATAAAACACATTTTAATTATAAAATTATTTACATTTTATATTTTTCTTAGAATTACGAAAAATTATTTACAAATTATTGAAGATAAAAAAATTTTACTTACTAGGTACTAAAATTACTTTTTGTTATTATTAATATCATTTTTATAATTAATATTATTATTATTATTATCATTTGTTATTTTTATTTTTTTATTTTTATTATTATTTTTATTATTATTGCTAATTATATTCATTTTCGTAATGAAAAAATTATTTACAGATTGGCTTTTCATTCCAGAAAATATTTGGATTCTTTCTCTTAAATTTTCTCGTTGTTGAAAATTATTTAAAATTTTTTTCTTTTAGAGAGATTTTAATGAATTTTCATCAAATCTCAAAACAAAAATTATTTACCGATTATTTCGAAAAGTAAACACAAAATGTAATATTTTATGAGAGAAAAATAAAGTGTTTCTATTTATAATAAAATTCTGGATTCAAAATATTTTGTGGAATTTTTTAGAACTCAAAATCAAATCATCGATGTTTTAATAGTTTTAATTGGTTAAGTATATCGAATTATTGATGTTTAATTAAATAAATTGTTAATTAACAAATTAATTGGTTAATTAATGAAATATTACCAAAATAATTAATTAATTATCAACATAATTGATTAATTAACATATAACAGTTGATTAATTATCAAAATAATTGATTAATTAACAAAATAATTGGATAGTTAACAAAATTATAAATAATAATTAAGCATCTTGTGTACTTGCCGTGACGTCCATCATACTTTCGTCGCCAATTTCCTCGTCCTCGTCCTCCTCCTCCTCGTCATCCAATTCGACTTCCGTTTCGAGAAGACGAATTTTCCGACAATTTTCACTTAAAATTGCCGCGACTTTACGCGCGCCACTAACTGTCAATTGTTTCGCGTTAATTCCCTCAAATGCACGTGGCCACGATTCAATTAAATCGTTTAAATCAAAATTCTCCGTATCACGACTAAATAATTTCGCATTTTTCAACGAAAGATTTATCAAGTAACTCGATTCATTTTGCGAATCATAAATAAGAAGACTCAAAAATTCTTGTGAATAAAATTGTAGATCAATGAATTTACAATTGTTCGATGATCTTGATACTGAAAGACCTGAAGAAAGGAAAATATAAAATATAAATAAAAATATAGAGAAATAAATATTTATAAAATAATATAAATTCAAAAAAAGAAAAAAAAGTTAACGAGAAGAGAGAAAAACTTACCCTGATCTTCATCAATTTCAACGGTAATTTTTTTAAACGACAATTTCTTTTGCTCGTCCTCAATGCGATTCACCATAAAAATATTAATTATTTTCTGTTGTTCGTCACTGATTGCGACAAATAAATTATCATCAGTGTTGACAATTTGCGAGAAGGATTGTTTTTTTTCAAAATCAATTGCAATTTGTAATGTGACAAAATGATCTGTGAGTCCTTGATATGATTTTGCGAATAGAGAATTTATCGCCTCAACAACTTTATCGTGTGATTGCAGTAATGATGAATCTAAATCTTGTTTTATAATAAGTGAATGATCACGTAGACAAAAATTCTCATCCAATAATAATGCCCATTCACTGCCTTCTGATTTCAAACAATTTTGCAATGGTTCACGACGTAAATATTGTCCTAATTTCTCTAAATTCACACCCTTACGTCCATTACCAGCTTCGGTATTATCGAAACCACGTAAAAATTCCGCAATATAGGTTAATTCCTGTTGACTCAATTTATTTATTTCCGGCGGTACTCTCTCGTCGGTTAATCGTAATATCACCACGTACAACCATCTGTAAGTTAAGTTTATTTTATTTTCTCCAAAAAAATTCTATTGTTCAATTTTAAATACCGTATTTGGTAATTTTCATAATTTTCATGATTTTATAAATTTACAAATTTACCATTTTATAATTTATGGTATTATATTTATTTTATCAGTGTCAGGGTTGCTACGCAACCTGGAAACCTGGAAAAATCAGGGAATATTATAAACATTGAAAAAACCTGGAAAAGTCAGGGAATTTTGATCAAAATCCAGTTTATTCTTGAAATCTAATTTCACTTAAATATTTCAAAATTAATTCAATTTTAAAAGAATTGTGTTTACAATTTTCATAAGTAAATGAACTTTAAAAGATTTTGATTTAGAATTTTGTAAAATTTCAATTTTAAATGAATTTAATTAGAAATATAAAACTTAGATTTAAAACAAATTTTTTAAACTAAAATTCTTCTGAAATTAGTTAAATTAATTAATTAATTAACTATAACAATCGTCGTATTCATTCTGTCCAGTCTGTCCACACCTGAAGTTAGTCATGGTTATTCTTTTGTTTTTTATTCGTTTTGATAGAAAATAGAAATAAAATATAAAATAACGATTTTTTAACAAAATTTATGCTTTTGTTTTTTATATGTTTTGATAGATAATATTACATTTCTTTATTTTGTTTTTATTTTTTTAATTTAATAATAGGTATTATTTTTATTTCTCAAATAATTCAAAAATATTTTTATTAATCTAAAAAAATTATTAATATTATTATATTATTCATTATTTCCTTTGATTCTAAAAAATTAGCATTTTGTAACAAACATTTTAGAAAATTAACAAATGTAAATCCTGTAAAATATTTTCTTTTTTTTAATATGAAAAACTTTATTACTTAACAAAATTTTGACTTCTTCCTTGACTCTAAAGAATATTCTGATTCTCTCTAAAAATGATTAGATACTCCAAAAAATGTTCCATTACATTTATTTACGAATTTCTTTAATTCTAAAATTATTTGAAAACATCAATTACTTCTTTTCTAAATAAATTTTAATCATTATTATTTTCCCACAGGAATAAATTATTTTTAATAATTTTTGAAAAAAGTTCTTTGAGAATTTTAAAATCCATTTGTTTACGAAATTTAAATTATTCAGAAATTCTTCAACTAAATACGAATTAAAAAATAAATACTTCAAATAATTTCAGAAAAAAATTCAATTAAACTTTTTTAAAATAATTAATTCTACAGAATTGTTAGTTATAAGTATGAAAAATACAAATTTTTAAAGAATTTGATTTGGAACCATTTTAAAATTTAATTATTTCTTAAAATTCATGCTGTAATGCTTTTAATATTCAATTATTATGTAGAACTTTAACTGAAATTCATTTTGAAATAAATTTTTATTAGAGAATTCAATAATTTAAATGCAAAAATAAATAATTTATTGAATAATTAAAATTTCTTAAAATTTAAGTCTGATAAAGAATTTTATCAAAACATTTTTAAATTCATTTTTTGAAAGCACAAATATGAAATTTTATGCAAAGTTAGCAAAGCAGTGATATATTTTGTAAATTTTAATTTTTAACGAAATTTTTAAAAATTTTTAAATTATTTTTTGTGATTAAGTAGTTAAGTGATTAAGTACCAGTTTTTATTGTTAATAGGCATTATTATTAATTATCTATTAATACTAGAAGAAACTATACGCGCGTTTTTTTAGCTGTCACCTGTAATAATTTCAAAAGATAAAATTTTTGTAATTTTTCATAAATTTTTCGAAGAATTTTTTATTGAAATTTTGTAAAGATAATCGAATTTCTTTTGAGTAATCATAATAATAATAAATTAAATACTTTGTTTGGCAGGCGTGACATTTACTACTTATTTATATTATTTATAAAAAAATTTTAAATACAAATTTCATAAAATTCAATTATTTTTTTAATTTTTAAATAAAAAATTATTCCAAAATAATTAATAAAAAATAATTTTTTCTCGATAGTTTTTCAAAAATTAAATTATTTAAAAAAATTAATTTTAAATCTGTAAAGTCTAATTATTGTTAAAAACAGGAAGAGTTTGAAATATATAAAATCTTTTCAATGCTCAAGAATAACATTCAGAATTTTCTTATGAATTCTTGAAATTGAATATTATTCCAGCACTTTTGACAAAATTTTCTGACTTTTTCCTGATTTTCCTGAATAAATTTACAAAATAGTGATTTTGTATAGAATTCTTCTGAATAATTGAATTTTTGAATGTTAATGATATGAAAATAATATTAATTAATTTTGACTAGAAAACTATTAGAAACAAAATAACAAATAAATAATTAATTCTAATTAAATGTAATTTATTTTTGATAATTAATAAGTCAAAAATAATGTAATGAACATATTTTTCATTATCGTCTCATTGGCATTCACGCTTTCATTAATTTTCATGTGACATGTAATGTAAAAATTACATTATTGTTATATATATATATATATGTTAAAAGTGAAACAAGAAACTTCACGCGCACTTTAGCGCGCGTTATTTGTGGTATTTTTTTTTAATAATATATATTTAACTGCTTTTATTAAAAATAATGGATTAATAGAAGAATTTTAGTCAAAAACACTAAAACAAATCGAATTTTGATGCAATTACAAATGAGTGCTGAAATTCAATTATTTACAAATTATTTTTATATATTATTCAATTATTTTCATGAATAATAACATTTTTTACAGGGATTCAATTATTTTCATAAATAAATAACACTCAATTATGAATTTCAATTATTTTTAATACAATTTTAATGGAATTCCTCGAAAAAAGTTATTATTCTTAAAATTTTTTTTTAAATTTATCAAAGAAATTTAATTATATTTTAATAACCTTTGCTACAATTTATTTATTAGAATTTAAGTATTATTTTTAATTATAATTAAATTTCTTTAAAGAATACAATTATTTTCATAAATTTTAATGCAACTCTTTGAGTAACAATTCATTTTTTTCAAAATAATTTGAATAAAATTCTTCGCAAAAATCCAGTTATGTTTAAAAATTTACAAAAATTTTCGTCAAAATTTCAATTATCTTTATAAATAATAAAATTTTTCTCCGAAATTCAATTATTTTTAAAACTTTTAATAAAATTCTTGGAAGAATTTAAATCATTTTTAATACAATTTTAATCAAATTTCTTAAAAAATAAAATTACTCTTAAAAATTTTATTAAAATTTTTCAAGAAAATTCAAGTATTTAAAAATTTGTTGATAAAATTCTTTATGAAAATTCAATTTTTAGAAACATTCAATTGTTTAATAAAATATTTATTTTTATAGTTAAATAATTAAATTCTCGTAGAATTTTCTAATAAATATTGATTTAAAAAATAATTTCAAATTAAAATCTTTGAAAATTTGAACTTTTTATGCTTTTAATTAAGAATTCTATAAAATTAATTTTTCTCAATAAGTTTAATGGAATTTTTTTTAATTATTTGAAGTTTTTAATTTCTAATATATTTAACTAAGAATGTCAAAATAATCGAAGTTTCGTAAAATTAAATTGTAAACAAAAGAATTTGAAAATTCACACAGAACATTTTTAAAAATTATTTTTAAAAAATTGACTTAAAGAAGAATTTTAGTTGAAAATTCTAGAAATGAATAATCGTAATGATGAAAATAATTTTTGAAAAAGTTACAGTAACAAAGTGACAAGTTTTAATTACATATTATAAAACATGTTTTTTAACCTGAAAAAGTCAGGGAATTTGAAAAGAGCAAAAGCGTGGCAACCCTGAGTGTTGTAAATATTTTTTTTAAGTTGTTCTGACAGTGGGCAAAGCCTAAAGTAATTTAAAAAGAAGAAATCGTTTTTTATTTATAATGTTCAGGGAATAAAATAATAAGAATAAAAATAAAAAAGTGAACAGAATTTACCGAAAGAATGCCTTATAATCGCGCATACTGTGATCTATGACTTGTTGAACCTCTGATGTTTTACCGAGAAAAGCTTGAATTCTGTGCAGTGCACCTGTTATTGGTGTTTCTTCAATTAAACCAAGAGATTCGTAATCACCACCGAGTCTCGCCATTCCAAGCATTTCCGATATTTGATAGGCAAGAGCCATTCCAGCACTATTCAAATGTTTTAATACTAATTTCTGTAACAAAAATAAACAAATAATATGAATAAGCAAATAAATACTATTGTATTTCTTCTTTTTTACTGTTCTACTTTTAAAAAATTCTTATTTTAATATTTTAAAAAATCATTCGTTTATTACAGGATTTAAACTAGTGAAATAACTAAATTAAGAAAAAATTAGCAAAAAGTAGCTTTAAGATTGAAAAGAAATAGTAAAAAAAAGTTATTGTCGAGAAATAATTAACAGAATTTTTGTTATTGTTATTGTTTTTGTTATTTTAATATTTATTGTTATTTATTTGTCCACCAAAATTAAAATTTTAAATAATTTCAATGCAAAAATCATTTAATAAAATAATAATTTTTGAATAAAAATATTCCAATATTATTATTTTCTGAAATATTAACTGAATTTCTTTATTAAATAAATAATTCCTATATCAAAAAGTTTTAAGTTTAAAAAATTAAAAATTTGAATAATTTCAATGTAAAAATCTTTTAAAAAATTATTTCTAAAAATTACAACTGCAATTTTTCCAAAAATCAATTATTGGTTAGAATTTTTAAATAAAATTTATTATTTATTTATTATTATTAACTAATAATTAAACAAAAATAATAAAATTCTTTAGAAAAATTCATTTATTTTTAATATAATTTTAATCGTATTCTTTAGAAAAATATATTAAAATTTTTTTTTTAAGAATTCTTTGTAAAAATGAATTATTATTTCTAAAAAGTTTTAAGAAAATTCCTCGAAACAATTCAATTGTTTTTAAAAAATGTTAATAAAATTCTATGCAACAATGAAATTATTTCAAATTCAAAATTATAAAAGTTACAAAAATTCTAACATTTCTTTTTTAAACAAAAATTTACTTATTATCACAAAATTGCATGGATAAAATAAAATAACTTCTAAATTTTTCGTACAAAAAAATAATAAAAATAATTATTATTTTTAGATGAGAGAAAAGAACTTTCACCCCTAATCATATCTTATAGAGATGATCTTTGTTACTATTTTCTCTTCTATTGAAATATTTTAGTCAATTTAATTAAATTTCTGCACCTATGGAAAAAATTCGTGTTTAGATAAAATAAAATTTTCCACTATTTTTCACCTGTATATTACTGTAACACATTTCAATACTGTGACCCAATTTTTTAAGGCCCTTCTCCGTCAAGTCACGTAATAGAAAACTCTCCAAATTCTCCGATGGAATTCCAATCATGAGAAGTTCGAGAAAATCGGCAGCAACACTTCCCGGTGGATTATTTTCAGCGTAACGTGTTAATTTCTCGTCCATCTCGAGAAGAATTGTTTCCCACGCTTCGGTAATTGCCATCAAAGTGCGCGAGAGATAATCCATTAAATAGTCTACATTCGCCTGCGCTTGAGCTACCTTCAAAATTTATTCAATTCTTTAAAATAATTAAAACGTGCGAGGAACAATGTCGCTAGTTAAAATAAATAGAAAAATAATACTTTACAGTAAAATATAAATAAAAACCTTGAGGAAAGCGTCGCTACTCTCGAGCAATGGACATGAGAGTTTATTGACAATAATTTCATTTGTATTTCTCCAGCTGGCCCATAAAGGTTTTCCAGAACCACCGCTTATTTCTAAAATTGGTCCCTTACCAATGCTCAATGTTCCACAGTAAAACATTCCGAAAATGTACATTCCAATTTCCCCCGTTTCTTGACCTGTCTAAAATTGCAGAAAAAAATTATTTTTCCATTTAAACTCTTTAGATCAATTAAGAAATTAATTTCTTGTCTAATTAATCTCTAAGTATAAAATTTAATGTTCAATTAAAATTCCAGACTTTGCACTCGATAATTAATTTAAAAAAAATAGCTTTCAAACTAAAAAAAAGTAGTAAAAAAGCTATCGAAATATTAAACTTGACGACCAAGAAAACTTGTTTTATTAGACACTTCACAAAACTGACAAACATTTCATTCCATTTTTTTTATTTTCCTGACTTTTCCCTAATTTTCATCAAAAATATTTACTTCGTTCTTATCCTGCTAATAAATTTAATTCCTGCAAAGAATTTTATTATTCATGAAAGAATTTAAATATTTATAAAAATAATTTCATTCTTGCGAAGAATTTTAATAAAATTTTTAAATAGTTCATCTCTTTCGACTAATTTTATGCAAATTCTAATTTAAATAATTGAATTCCTCCGAAATTTGTATTATTCATGAAAAGAATTAAATTCTTACGAATATTTTTACAAAAATTTATTAAATAATTGAATTCTTTTTGGAAATTTTATGAAAATAATAGATAATAGTAGATATTAAAAATCATTAAATTCCGAAAAGATTTTTAAAATAATTAAATTTTACAAAGAACTTAATTAAAATTTTTGACAATATAATTGAATTCTTGCGAACGATTTTTTTAGAACTTTTTAAAATAGTTGAATTTCCAAAAAGAAATTTATTACTTTTAAAACTAATTGAATTCTTGTGATGAATATTGTGATACTTATAAAAATAATTAAATTTTGCAAAGAATTTTATTAAAATGCCTCAAAATAATTGAATTTTTGGAAATAATTTTGTTATTTATCAACATAATTAAATTCTTTCAAAGAATTAGTTATGTAAATAATTGAATTCTCGGGAAGAATTTTATTAAAATCTAAAAGAATAATTCAATTATTTCAAAAAATTTTTTTAAAAATTGTATTTAAAATAATTATTGATTTCTTTCGAACAATTTTATTAAAATATTTGACAATAATTGAATTCCTGTGAAAAATTCTAATACTTTTTGTAAATAATTAAATTCTTCCAAGGAATGAAATTAAATTTTTAAGAATAATTATATTTATTGAGCAATTCCTGTAAAATTGTAATAAATATAATTGAAATCCTGCGATGAAGTTGATTATTTATGGAGATAATTGAATAGTTGCTAAGAATTTTATTAAAATTTTCAAAAATAATTGAATTCCTAAGAAGAATTTTATTATTTATGAAAATAATTGAATTATTGCAAAAAATTTTATTAAAATGTTTAAAAAGAATTGAATTTCTGTGAAAAATTTGGTTATTTTAAAAAATAATTGAATTCTTCATAAGAATTTTGTAAAAATTGTTTTAAATAATTAATTTTTTCGAAATATAATAAATATTATGAACATTTTATTTTAAATAGTATTGATTTATTGTGGAAAACTTTATTTGTAAAAATACTTGAATTTTTTGATTAATTGATTTAAAATAGTATCAAAAATAATTGAAATTCTTTGATAAGATTTATTTTTTATAATAATAATTGAATTCTTGCTTAGAATTTTATGAAAAATTCTTGAATTTTTATGAAAAATGTTATATAGTGAAAGTATTTAAATTATTGTGAAAAATTGTATCAAAATTTTGTTAAATAATTGATTTTTTCGAAATTTTTTTGAAGATCCTATTCTAAATTAATTGAATTTCTGTGGAAATTTTATTATTTATGAAAATAATTTAATTTTGGATGAATTTTATCAATTTTTTTAAAAAATAATTGAATTCTTTTGTGAAATCTAAAAAAGTACCCAAATAGTAGCATAACGTAAAAAAAGTAGTAAATAGTAGGTTTTAGTAGATGAGTGCGAAGCCTAAAATTCAATAAAATAGATATTGAAATTTAATAAAATAGTTATTAAATTTAAATAAAATAGTTATTAAAATTTGATAGAGCGGTGGTTTTTTTATTGAACTTGAATAATTATTTTCCTTTTTGGTTATTTTTAAATACTCACGAAGAACATGTCGAGCTTCTGTAGAAGAAATTCCTTTCTCTCTGATTCCTGACCATAGCTTCGATCAAGACTGGGCAATGTTGATAAATAATTACCAGTTGGCGATGAAATATCATTTGCACCATGGGATTTGAAATTTAATGGCAACCATGCCATGCAAGTGATGGGCGAATTTTTTGCAAATAAATTCGTTTTATGAACGATATTTTTATTTTCAACATCGACAAGATAAAGTGTCTTCGATTCCTTGTAGGTGACAGCCAAAAGTTTTCCATCCGGTCGCCAACAAATATTTTCAACAAGGCCCGATTCGTCCTGTGGCGAGAGCAACCATACACGTTGAAACGTGAGTCTGTGCAGTGTCACTTCACCTGCAAAAAAAGAGAGAAATATTAATCTTTTAAATTTTATTAAAATTAAATCTTAATCTTAGACATAATTAAATTAACTATTAACTAAAATATTAAACTTATTATTAGCTAAACTATTAAACTAAATTATTAACTAAACTATTTAACTAAATTATTAATTAAAATATTAAACGAATTATTAACTAACCTATTTAACTAACTTATTAATTAAAATATTAAACTAATTATTAACTAAACTATTAAATTAAATTATTAACTAAACTATTAAACTGAACTATTAACTAATTAACTAAATTAAACTATAAACACAATTAAAAACTATTTAAAGTTCATCAATTCAGAAAATTTTACAGATTTTAAATCATATAAATAATAGAAATATATTCTTTTCCAGCGTAATTAGACAATTAAGATTTATAAATATTTATAAATTGTATATTGACAATATTTATTTTTATTACAATGAAAATAGAGAAAAAACTAACCTTTAACATTGGCTAAAGCCAGAAGATCCATTTTTGGCGACCATCGCATTAAAGTAATTTCCGTCGATACTTGTCGTTCCTCTAATTGTCTCATAATTCCGGACATGTTTGTTTAATTAATTATTTGATTGACAGTAATAAGTAAAATTATTAACTGCACTAATAACATGTACATGTTAAGGTTATCCTGGACATGCCTGGACACGATTTGTTTATGTTGATTGTTGACAATCGCCGATCAACAGGGATGAGAAGATAGGGTAATAAATAAGAAAATTTCTACTTCCCACCCGTGAATTTGTGACGTCATGTTAAGGTACACTCTCAGGCTGAGGCGGTGCGATCCCATCAGGAAGGAAGAGTAAGGAGACCGAACTCTGCTTCTACAAATGTCTGAGAAATATGCACGAAAAGTGCCAGACTCACTGTGTTCTAGTTGATCACCAATTAAGTCGATCATGCGCATTGAACTAAAGTTCAGTGTTGACATAGATGAAGAGTGTGGTTATGTCAAGGTAAATATTACATAGTTTAAACAGTGTTAATTTTAAAAGCAAATTTATTTATTTGCAATTGTGATATTATTTAGATTTTTAAAATAATTTAATAATATATTTATGAAAAGGGAAAAATTTTGCGAAAATGGTTAAGAAGAATTGTGTTTATAACTAGAGTATATTTACATACCGTAGAAGGATAGAAGAGACTAATGTTTTTAGACTCTTTTTCTTTCTTTACATCCTGGCAGACAACACGACATTTTTTAAATAAAATAAATAAATAATTATTAAAACGAAATGTATTGTATATGTATGTATCTATCGCCTAAGACCGGCTAAATGTAAACATTAGATCTTACATCTCACTCGCACAATTTTTACGAGAAACAGAGACACAACACAGCTTATGCGCATGATCAACTTAATTGGAAGTCGACTAGAACGCAGTGAGCCTGGCACTTTTCGTGCATATTTCTCTGAGATTTTTAAAGCGCTTTCTACACAGAGTTCGGTCTCCTTACTCTTCCTTCCTGGATCCCATGTATGCAGAATACGTCGACCGAAAGCAGAAAATCATGAGAGTGAAAAGAACAACAATATCTATCTATCTCTTTCGCACTCATGATTTTCTGTTTTCGGTCGACGTATTCTGCTGTAATGGGATTGCACCCTCAGGCTGAAGTCCCATGGCAGCGTTTTGCGTTGCGTTTTGTAACTAGGCAATGAGTGTGAGAGAGATGGAGATATATGTTTGCTATATTTGCACTCATGGCCTAGTTACAAAACGCAACGCAAAACGCTGCCATGGGACTTCAGCCTAACCGTATCAAATTTAAACTAGTTGACAATATTATTTATTCAATATTATGAATATTGTTGACATCCATACTTACATTAATTACAAAGTAAAATTGACGCATATTCTAATTTATTTCATTGGTAAGGAATGTTTCTTAAATAGGAAATTTCCCCCATTGATTGCGTAGCCGAGAGGCTTAATGTAAAAGCGTGCGATTTATAATTATGCGTATATTTACCCAGTGGGAAATTTCCAACCGGCGCGGATCCTCGCCTGTACCGACGCCGGAGTAGTGGTACTGGCTGGGAACCGCCTGCCTACCGCCAGGGATGGGTACGTAACATACTTCATGTATGTTACCTGGGTTTGTTACTGTATGTTACCTAGTATGTTACGTCCTTACATTGTTACATCCATGTATTTTTCGAGAGTGGGGGGTAACATACGTATGTTACCTCATGTAACATACATGTAACATACGTAGAAAACCTCGAGTTACGCGTAACTGCGCAACCCTGCCTACCGCCCGAGAACTGGTATTCTACCAAAAGATGACTTGGCCAGGAGCTGGCTGGCCATCCGTCTCGGAACTGGCATTCTACCGCCCGGTAACCGGCCGCGAAGAGCCGTTCCGTGTATAATTCAACCGGCTGGGACCCGGCACTGTACCGACTGCGGATCTTTCATTTCCTAGCCAGATGTGCGCTGGCAATGCTGGCATTCTACCGCCTGACAACCGGCTCGGATCAAAATAATAATTTCAACAAATATCAATAAAAAAATTGATAATTAATTGCAAAAGATAAATACTGATAACAATTCATTGATAGTTCACTTTACACATTTTTTTATACACTTAACGGTATTCTTTTATATTCACATTTGAAAAATCCTAACGCTTGGGGGTACGAACCTACGCCTAACCGAATATGTACGCACCGAAATCACGCACGCTAACCACTATGCTACGCTCGCATGGAACTCTCAAATCTTAAATGCTTTCAAGTCTCACTAGCTAAAATGAAAATTGTAAAATTACTACGCGGCAATAAACAATTTTCAAATACGGACTGATGTTATACCGGTATTTATGAATATTTTAATATTTCGTTTAAAAAGGAACTTGTTAAAATTGTTATTTTATTATTATATTTTTTAATATTTTATTACGTAATTATTAATAATTGAATGAAATTTGAATGCACAACACATTTTTTTAATTATTTAATTTGCAGAAAAGTGTCAATAAATAATTACTTAATATATTGTTTAAATTAAAAAGAGATTATTAATTAATTAACAATAAATAAATTAATTAATAATCTGTTTTTTATATATTTATTTAATGTGTTATTTATTGTAGGTATTATTATATATTGAACACATTTTCTTTCAAGTTAATATTATTATTTATTAAAAATTATTTATTTAATTGCACATTAATAAAGTTGGATTTTTATAAATATAATGAAAAAATTAAGTTTCTTATATTCTTCCTTTGCATCAATACAATTAATTTATTTATTGGTTAAATAATAATAATAATAATATTATTATTATAATAAATGCAATTAGTTATTGTAATAATTAATTAGCTATGATATATATATTAAAATAAATTTATGATTATACTGATAATGTGAACTATAACAATAAATGACGAGATCCGCAGTCGGATCCGCCCCAGCACCGAGCCAGTACAGACCTAACATCCGTCATTCTTCCGACGCCCGTAGAAGAATGAAATCCGCAGGCGGAACAAATCCAGTACCACGCCAGTACTGACGAAAGTAGAAAGGCGGATCCAAAATTCTGAGCCTAATCTGTTCCGCGCCGGTTGAATTTTGGGATCCGAATCGGTACAAAATATCGGTACTGGCGGTCCGCACGGGCGCGGATCCCAGGCGGTTGTAAACTCCGACATTCGTCCGACTTTTCCTCATCCTGGGTAGTTGTATGGTTAGGTATATAGGTGTTCAATCCCGTATGATTGTAAGATTTTCCGATGCATTTAGTTGTTAATTGTAAGTATGAAGATGTGGGAAGAATAAAACTTGTGAATTAAGGAATATGAATATATAAAAAGTGCATTTAACACATTTTTCTTTTTTTTTAATGATTGGTTATTGTTTTTTTTATATAAAATTGACGAAGTGAATACAAGGAAACACTCGTTTCGCGTCGCGTCGGCCATTTATTTTGACAGGTTCCGCGCCTGCGTTCCCTCATTGTGAAAATTTCGAAGTAGGGGACTGAGTTCAGTTTCTCTACTATGCACACTGCAGCGCGCCTTATAATCTTCGCCTGTGTTTTAATGCTCTTTACAGTGACATTTGGAACTAAGGCCCTCTATACACTATACGCAACACCCTAAGATGCTTGATGGAAATGAATTAATGTACTTTTACTGGACTGAGTCCAGTTTTTTCAATATTGACTCCCAGTTTTTTAAACTCTATTTTTCTCAGTGTAATGACATTTATGATTTTATTTTTATGATTTTCGTTGCTAATTGAACTATCCTTGTCCTATTTTGGTGGTAATGAATTAAAAATTTATTTCGGGACCTTATTCTCATCTATTAACTGAATTGTTAACAATTATTTGAATACTTGGTCTCTATATCATTGCTATACAGATTTATATAAATGCGAGTTTGCTTTAAATTAAATTATTAAATATATATGTGTCCAATTTAATCTTTAGTCCTTTCACAATTTCCAAACCTGAATATCCATGCAGTTCTGGAACGTGTTCTCAATTTCGTCATTCCAATTGTAATCACCTGTAACCGAGGGACTGTTCAAAGTGCCCGCCATTCTTGAAACACCGCCTTGAAGTTTGAGCATGATCAATGAAAACTACTCACCAACCTGACTTACCATCAACTCTACGATAATATACACTAAGGGCGGTATTCATAGTCCCGACTTAAGCAAGGACTTAAGCTTTGCTTGATCAAGTCGGTCTTATTCGAATGAGTCGAGCTTAAGACCGTATGTATTCATAGTCAAAAATAAGCAATTGCTTGGTAAAGGAAATGCAGCTTAAGAACTTCTTGACCAAGCAAATGCTTAAGATGATCTTATTGAGCGTTCGGCTTTTTCCGTCAATATTCTCTTGTATCTACCAATAAGCGATAGTAGATAGCTTATATTCATTAGAAAAAATGACGCTAATGCACATAAAATATCTGATAAGGGAGAGGAGGGGGGGTCAAAAAAACTGAAAAATATGCATATTTTAATATTTTTAGGATAAAAGTTATAAAGTAAAAGGATACAAGAAATGACTACCAGAATGATGAAAATTGAAATATTCTTATTCCTCACGAAATATTATATTTAGATTCTAAATTTTTCTGTATTAAAAAATAGAAAAAATTATTTTAACTATTATTATATTGTTTCTAAAAAAAATTATTGAGTCAGAATCAGTGAAATTTTACAAAAAATAAGGAGTATTTTTATAATCGAAATGAAAAAAAGCATTTTTATTTGGCCATTGTCTCTAACAAACAAACGACAGAAAAAATTTTGTTTAAAAAAAGTTATTGTAAAATGAATTTTTTTGCAACTTTTTATAAAAAAATCTTATTTTTCCTAAAACAATGAACCAAGAGTGCATATAAAAGGGGTAAAACAATTAACTTTCATTTGGAACTACAAAATTTTTAAAAATAGTATTTTTTAATAATTATTTAATATTAACAGTTTTATTTCCTCATAGGGTGTCGATTTTCTTAGAATCAATTATTTTTACAAATTTTCAAGTATAGCGTATATAAATATTTCAACATGGGGAACAAATTCTCCGGATGTATGTGTGTGGATGCATATCGAAATGTTTTTTCAACATTTCGATGAAAAAAAAATACTTTTTATTTCTCGTGAAAATTTTATAAATTTTGAACCTTTTTTCTAAATTATTAAATTTTAATTATTATTAAATTGTTTTTAAC